TAGATTTAATCCCAAAACTAATGCCAGCCTCTGGGTTTTCAGATGGCTACCTGAGCCTTTCTTATCTTGTCCTCCTTCCTATAAAATGCAAACTTTATGGATTATTTGGAATGACATGGTCAGGCATACGTAGAGAAAAATAAGCAGTGTGCAGCATGGGACTGTGCAGGTTGAATGAATATAATTGCACTGCAGAAAATTATTTTCATCTAAACAATGGCTTGGTTTGAGAAAACCAGTGAACAAAGGTAGAAATGTGGCGAATCATTTGTAGCTCCTGAGGAATCTGCCCCTGCGCTCTCTACGCAGGGCTTGGCCAGCACCGACCCCCTAAAAACCAGTGGAGTGAGCTCAGGACGTGCTGGGGTAGAACTAGGGCACCCCTTTGGTGTCCAGAGGATCCCTGCCTTGATTTGCAAAGACGTCAAGACTCCTTCTTTTGCATTTCCTCTCTAGGGCTCACAAATGGATCTCAGGAGGTGCCAGACCTTCAGATGCAGGGACTCGGCCCTTCCTCTGGTACTGCTGGATGTAGCACGAATGTTTCTTTCATTCCTGGGGACAGGGCATCTCCTCTTCAGCATATGGGTGTTAGTGTGACTCTTAGCCATGGACTAAGGGAAAAATAGCACCAAAATGTCAACTGCTGACATTTGACCACTGCCAGTGGAGGGTGAGAGGGATGCTCCTGCAGCAGGTATCAGAGATGCTTGATGTTTTGCTCTGGATGACCCTGATCTCAGAGTGACTCATTGCTAAAGTTTGCTCCAGGCATGACAGGAACCGGCAGGGTGAGTTCCCTGTCCAGCAATGAGTTACATGACAGTTAACCAGTGCTGAGGATGTAAGTTTGAAGCCCCACCCCTTGGACTTTCCCTAAATTGTTCTGCATCGGATATGTGCATTTTCTGCCCCTGCCAGGAGGCCCTAAGAGGTGGGAGCGTTCCCAAGGTCAACATGCAATGATTAAACTGAAGAGCCTGGCAACTTTAAGCAGGTGGCTCTGGTATGTTCTTCCATGGCATGTGCCCACCACTCATGCTGTAGCATGTACATGATATGCAGGGAGCAGTAACTTGACAGAAAAAGCTTTCCCAGGTGGAATAAATTGCATTCCCTTAATCCCAAACACCTGCACTGGTCCTCAGGCAGGATTGATAACTGAGTACTCTGCTGAGCTTTTAAAAGAGACTGGCCAAAAGACCCCAACTCTCTCCTAGTTGGTAGATATTTCTGCTGTTCTGTCCTGACAGTGACAAGATGGGTCCTGTTGGGGCTGTGCTGGCTCTGCCCATACTGTCATTGCTAACCAGGGTGACAGGCAGTAATTGACTGAGTTTGAAAGAGGACAACCCCAGTCTGGTGTGCAAGGTTGAGTGCTGGTGGGATTTGGACTTCCAATGTTTGTTGCTGCTGGGGAATGTGGTCCCAGGCGGAAGAGGCAGCTGAGGGGGGACCGTGCAGGCAGGAATGATCAGCTGCATGAAGATGCCCTGGCAGCCGTCCTGCACTGCCTGGCCCAGGAGCTGCAGCCGGACCCAAGCTGGCAGCGCCAGCGCGTTGCTCACTAAGCTCACAAAGCTGGGGCTGTGGCAGCAGGGCAGCGGACGTCGCGGTGCAGAGTCGGATGGGAAATGCGCTCAGCGGTGGGCAGGCACCATGCCCTCGGAGAGGCAGCAGATTTGGAGACCATCCAGAAGGGAGTGAGAAAAAAAGGGTAAAGAATGCGAGGTGTGCGCTCAGCCTGACGGAGGCGGTCGGTGGCAGCCCCCGAGGAAATGAAGGCGCGGCGGGGCTCGGGGCGGGCCGGGGGCGCTGCCCCCGCCGTGGAGCGCGGCTGCCACCGCATGGACGGGGCCGGGAGAGCCGCGGCAGGCGGCGGAACGGGGAGGCGGGGCTGGTCCGCGGGCTCCCGCAGGGGGCCCAAGTCCGGTAAAGCGTGGAAGGCTAAGACTGCAGTCCTTGAAGCACCCCACGGGTCGCAGCTGCAGAATTTCCCCCAGCTGGCGGTGGGCAAGTGCCTGAAGTTGGCTGGACTGCCGTCGCTGAGAGGTTTTGGACACCATCCTCATGGGATTCATCCAGAAAGTCAGAAAAGGTCGGTGATGCTCCCAGTGAGCTTTCCCAAACATGGTAGCCCTGTACCAGTTTGTAGCCAAGAGCCACATGCTATAAAATTCCCAGGGAGCTGCCCAGCAAACCTAGGTGGTCACAATAGTGAGTTTAAGGGCTTCACTAAACTCATAAGCACATAATTGGTGAGTAGATGAAAAGCACTGAAGTATGAATAATAGCTAATGAAACCACACAATGTTTCAGTGCAAGATTTGCTGTGAATAAACTGAAAAGAGCACGGGTTGTACCTATGCTTCAGAGATTAAATGCTTAAAGTGCTAGTGTCTCTAAAAGTGGGAACACCAGCAGGAATACAAATTCAGGAGGAGGCAAACAATTTCGTAATAGAGACCTTCTTTTATTGGTCTCCCACTATTACAGGAGAATTATAAATTCTTCTCCCATTCTTTTCATTATGAATTATGGTATTCCATCAGGAAGCTGGATGTAGCAATGCTATTTTCCATCATGCTTGCTTCTGTTAATAAAGCTGATTGAAACTTCCATCTCACCTGACACATCTGATGCTTCCTGTTATTTTTCCCTACATGTTAGCCTATGTATTAATGCAACATTCCCCAGTTTAGGCCCATTCTGTCTCATGAGTTGCTTTTATTCAACTACCTCTTCCTACTTCTGTAGATTCAAACTGTTCCTTACAGCACCTTATCACAGAAGCGTATTGAGTGCTGTTAGGGAAGACCTTTTTGGGAATAAACAGATGAGGTATTAAATTCTTGGATGCAGACCTCTTCCTGTTGGGGTTGAGTATTGAAAGGCAGGGTGTATCTGTCAGGAACCTGGTGGGGTGGAAGTCTGGAGGTCTTCCTTGCTCAGTTCTCTTTGTCTGCCATGGAAGACCCAGCTGATTTCTTTGCCTCTGTGCTTGCTTTCACTTTCTTCATGTTCACTTTTCATTATTTTCTATTCATATAACCTGTAAGTCCCCTAAGGGAACAGGTTATGCAGAGGCTAAGGATTACTGGATAGGCCTTTATGGTACAATTACTTTCTCTAGTTGTATAACACTGATTCTTTACCTTGTGCATAGAGATACTGAAGGAAAACAGCAGTGGACTGTCTGAATAGTTAGTGATTTGGGTGAAGGGTTCAGAGGAACAGGCTTTCAAAGAGATAGTTGAAAAGTCAGCCAGTGCCTTTTCAGGAGCAAACCAAGAATGATGAACATTCCTTCCTCTTGTCACACTTATTCAACACAAGCTTGGAACCTGCTGTATTCTCAGGGATATTATGCAGAGACTCTCTTGCATCTGACAGATAGCTGGATTGGGGAAGAAGTCTGAGTCCTGCTTTGTCTTTGCAGAGACAGTGACAGGTGTTTGCTTGTGATATGCTGTGGGACACAGGCTGTGTGTGTATGTCTCTCTTACTGGTGGTGCCAAATCTGGGTCAAAGGAGCAGCCTGTATCCAAACACCTGCTGCTGGCACTGACAGCAGCCCAGCCTATGAGAAGCGGCTCTTTGAGCACCTTGAAGGAAGCAGCCTGACTCTCTTGACAAGGGTGAGTCACCTCTGGGAGTGATCTGTAGATTGGTTGCCACCCAGGGCTGGTTGCATTGCATGGGAGAAGGTACGTTTTGCTTTGAAGCCAGGCCTCTCTGGGCACTTATACTTTTTTAGGTGTGGTGCTCACCTGGGTGTTCCTCCCTGCCCATGGTATTTCAAAGGGAGACTTTCTCTTGGTGATGCCATACTAGGTTGGCCCAGACAGTTCCTAAGAGCACAGGGCATGCTTGCTGCTTGTGTGTACGTGGTAACATGCACACACATGCATATGCGCATCTGTGTGTATTGCAATGAAGATTTAAGAAAACAACACCCTGCAGAATGACAGTAAAGGTTATTTATAATAACAGTTGTTTGACTGATCAAGAAAATTTAGTTCTATATTCTGAAAAGAGAAAAAATTACCATTATGCTGTGAAGGACCTGATAACTTTCCTGTCTACCCACTTCTTTCTGCTCAGCTGGAGTTGCACATGCATGTTCCCTGTGGGTTTGCAGCCAGACAATTAAATCCCCCAGGGGTCACTGCACAGATACGTGAATGCAAGAGAGCTCTCCAGTATGTTAGGAAATATGTGTTAGTAAACATGTATTTCTGCAAATGTTTATGGAAATTTATTACTAAGTTGCACAACATGGTAACATGTTTCTATAGCTCAATTTCAATCTAAGATATCCTTTACGCTCTCTCTCCACCTTTTTCTCTTCCTCCTCAGACAGATTTATCTTGATGGATTGGAAACATGTGGGGGGGTGCTTACTGATGCATTTCGAGCCCTGTGATTATCTACAGGTGCAAGAGTCACATTGCTTCCCTAGGTAATCTCATAAAAAGTGCAACCCTCAATACCCATGGAAAGGCACCTCTTCCAAATTATATATCCAGATTTGAGGAAGGACCTGGTTCAGGCTATACATTCTTTTACAGCATCATCACCAAGATAAGTGTGTCTTTCCAGGGTTAAGCCCTAGGACCCTCCAGGGGTACAGTCACAGGCTTTCAGCACCTGTGGTGCCAGGGGCAGCTTTTTGCTGCTGGCCAGGGGCAAGTTGAATGCAGGCAACTCCCAGTTGTTAATATTGCCGGGTTTGCCTGGTGTAATCCTGTTTTGTTGATTTTGGTTGTTGTTTGTTTGTTTTTTAATCAGGGCCAGCAGGCACTGCATGGCTTATGGAAATTCTGCGAAAGCAGAAGATTTCAGCCTCTTGTTTCCAAAACGAACACTACATTTACCCCCGTTTTTCAGTCCTGCTTTTACAATGACATAACGAAGAGGATGCTCCGCGCTGCCGCCGCCGCTCACAGGGAGCGCTTCTGCCCTTCGGCATTTCACTGAAACTTCGTGAGTGCCCCGACGCCGAGCAAAGACTCCCGTCCGGCCCCTCTCCTCACGGAGCTCGCACGGGGTCCCACCGCCGCTTCCAGCCGGAGCTTCCCCTGGAACTGACCCGGGCTGCAGGAGCATGAATGGTCCAGCTACATTCCAGCCGTCTCCTCCCCCTTCCAACCCTCCATCCTCAGGGACCGTCCTTTAAGCAGCCTCTTCTCACGACGGCAGCTAAGTCTTATCGCCGTTACGAAACAGAGAATGACTCCTAGACTTGTCGGTGTTCACAGGGCTCCTGGGATAATAGGGCTGACAGTGGTTCCTAACAACGGGTAGTGCCACCCCTCTGATCGGTGTCACCAGCTGAGCTGATTATAAAAGAGAGGATGCTTATTGTCTGGGGGGAGCTGCTGGTGTGCCCTCTCCTGGTTGCTGAGGCAGACAAGCTGTTGACTTTCACTGATTATTTCTCTGCTAGCTTACAATTCCAGCCTGGGCAGGCAACCTTCACAATTCCAGTTAGAAAGTATTTCTGCTGGCAGTGACTAGTCATGAATTCATCTCGTCTAAACAACAGAGCTGAGAGCCACTTTAGAGCATCAGAGGAGCACGAACTGGAGACAGTGGGGAAGAAAGCTTGGGACAATCCTGTTTACAATGGCTCTCCTTCTACATCCCTGAAGATTCAAACCATCTACAACCCCAAGTCTATCCTGCAAAATCCCTATGAGAACTTTGAAGAGGTTGGAGATCCACTGCCCTACCAGGAAGAACAGAGCAAAGCTGTGGATGGGAAGACAAGTCCTTTCCTCAAATGCTTCCTCTACATCTTCAGAGGCATAAGAGGTAAAGCTCTGACATCCCACTAGAAAGGATTTAATAGCCCTCAGAAAGAACAATTGTATGCGGGAGGAGAGAGGGGATGAAGAAGTTAGAAACCTCATAGTGTCAGTGTAGCCCAGGACACTGCTCAACAAGCAGTAGCATTACTCCAGAGATCATGTTTGGTTGACCTGGCAGGAGCATCCTCATTCCGTGTGCCTGGCTACAGCTTCATGGTTTGTCCTGTTACCTTTACTACAAGGTCAGAGACTTAGTGATGTGCTCAGGGTTATGCAGTGAATCTGAGCTTTGGACAGAGCTTAGATATTTGGAATCCCCAGGAGTCATCACTGTGATGATGAGACCGTTCTATCTATGATTGCATTTTCTAGACAGAGTGGTCTGGCCCCTGTGTTACAGTAACTTAAGAATTGATAGAAATATCCAGCAGAGAAAATCTAGCACTGGCAGGACTGAAATGCAGGGTATTACAGGAATGTATCAAACAATGGTTTGCTTTAAGATAGCTGAAAGAAAGAGGTGCTGTTTTCCAGTTTAAAAAACAAAGGGGAATGAAATATTATGTAGGCCTAATCAGAGACAATCAAAACCCTGGGAGCGAGATAAGTCTCCTGTAAGTATGCAGTCCTGGGCAAGAGCATTATTTGAACAGTTTCTTATAGAAGGCATAAAATCCTAATATTGTAAAAACAGGGAAGATAAACCAAGAAACTGTTTCTTGTGAAAATTATATTTTCTTGCCAGTGCGACTTTTCTTCTTTTCTTCCTAACTTGGAAGGTAAAAGCCTTTCTCAGAGCTGTAACCGCTAATAGCGCGTGTGAGTGAATAACAGTATAGCTTGGTCCTGATTTGCACAGCCCCTCTATGATCAATACTTATTTGTCATTGTCATTACAGTCTAACACTATCTATTCATGTGGAAGTCAGAGCTGAGGCTTTAAAGGTTTCTCCTGACCAAGGAACCAGTGCTGGGTGGGCTTGGTGGGTAATTACAGATTTCCTAAAGACATAGCTGAAAACAAACCTCAGGTGATATATTACAATTGCTGGATGCAATCTGAAAGGGTACTGGACCAGCCTCATGGTCCTTCAAGTATCATTTTGGGCAAGTCTCTGAACTTGGTTCAGGGATATTTGAGTGTCCCTGAATTTAGGTGTTCCTGAGTACCCTTCTGTTCTCAAAGCAAAGTCTGTGGCTCTGCTTCAAACATATAGATACTAAGGTTTCTCTGCCTCATGGAAAAAACCCAGCAAACCAAACCTGTTAAAAGATTGTGATGTAGTCATATCTGAGAATGAAGGTGGTCATTTAAATATGACCTGAATAGATGGGTGAGTTGTTTCCACTTGTTTTTCTGCATTGTGGAGATTCCTGTAGACCACATGACACTCTCTCCTCCACAGGAGTTAATCCAGATCTTCTCCAGGGTGTCATTTCTGTTGCTGGTCTGGATTGTTCAGAACAGGCTACTAGTTATCTGCCCAGGAGTGATGGCAGATTCTGGAACAGTCTCTACAGTATTTGATGGTGCAAGAAGCTCTCTGATCTGCTGAGATGCCAAAGACCTGTCAAAATGACAAGAGTAAATGCACACAGACCACTAGATCACTTTTGCTCACTCCAGAGAAAAAAAAGCGGGTTTTCATCTGCAAGAACTGACTTCAAATGTGTGGCCTTTGATCAGCTTTGATCCTGGCTTGCAGGAAAATGATTGCTGCATACTACTGGGGATAGGTATCAGAGCTGAGCTCTCTAGGAGCTGCAGAAAGCAGCAACACTACGGGTATTATCGACATGGCTTCTATCACTAGGCTTTCAATTGGAAGTTCTTATGCCTTTCAACTTCAGGAGCATTCCAGAAATCACAACAGAAAGCCATTTCAGAAAGAACAAACAAATACACTAATGGTATCAGGCGGTTCATCAAACCCAAAATATCAAGGCTCCTTTTAAAGGAAGTGTTTCGCTCTTATTGATCAATCCTGGTGACATTTAATGAGTTGCTTTCACTGTGGGAAGAAATAGGATCTCTAGCTGTTGTAACTGGCATAATTGTATTGGATTCAGCAGACCTCCATTGATAGATGGCCCAAAGATAATTTGGCTCTAAATTTTATGCTGAAAATATTGAATTGTGTTATCTGTATGAGTCTTATGGCCTACAAGAAAACTGCAAGAGTTTTTAGGTAGGCAAGGGACAAACATCTGGAACCTAATGGTTCAACGTGCTGTGAAAGGACTAATAGTTGTAAAGCTAACATCAGATGCAGTTCTGCTACAGAAGTCCTAAGAGAAGGTCAGCTGTTGGCACAGTGAGATGAAAATTTATGGTTTCAAGAGACCTTGTGACAAATCTCTGCAAAGAGTAAGCTGAAAAACAGTCAGAAAAAGTTCAATCCATAATGAGCTCAAACAGAAAATTGGAGAGGGATTTAGCAAAAATAAAAAACCAATATATTGCAGTTTTGGTCAGCCCCAAATCTTTTATTCATGCTGGAATGGTTCAAGTTCTTCTTAGGGGTTATTTAACACATTTTTATAGGTCTTAGTCAAGTTTTGAAATAAAAAGTGATTTGGCCTTGAAAAGCGACAAAATTCAACTCCCAACAGTGTTTTTTGAGAACAGAACTTCAGCTCCTCACATGGCCCTTCAGAATGGCAACAAAACTTGACAGTCTCTTCTTCATACCCAACAGGTCTGTGGGGCACTACACTGACTGAGAACACAGCTGAAAACAGAGAGCTTTATGTGAAGACCACACTGCGAGAGCTGCTAGTCTATGTTGTGTTCTTGGTGGACATCTGTCTATGTAAGTAGCTATCATATCTCATAGGCATCATTTCCACCTGCAGTGTGAGGGCAGTAATGTGAGATTTTATTATTAGTCTTCCTTGCTCTGCTGTAAATGCTAAATTTATTGTATGTGCATTCACTGCAGCAGGAGGTTGTGCTATTAATCTATAGAATAGCTGCTCCACACAGAAAGTAAAATTACTGGCCATTGCTAATTGATAATGGTTAGATTTAAGCAGTCTTTTCTGATTCACATTATCAATTCTAGTCATTGACTCCACAGTCCTGGGAGAACCTACCCAAGGTTTTTAATTAGTTTCACAGCAAATGTTCAAGACCCAGAGAGCAGCTCCAGAAGCTTCCTGGCACCAAAGGTACAGAGGTCAGAGAGATTTTGCCCTCTGAGACTGCAGGGGTGGCTGTGGTGGTAAAGCAGATAGCAGCTCTCTCTGTTGTTCTTAGGTGAATTTAATGTGTCCCTGTACTGAATGCTAATGTTAATGGACTTTGTGTAGATAGAACAATGGCTGTTTGGTTTTGGGAAGGTTCATTCATTATCACAAATGAGCACCTGTGGCATGGGACAGTGAAGAGGATTATATGTCATGGACCCTATGGCAAGAGAGATAGAGAGACAATAGCAACCTAAGTTACTATCACACTGGCCCAGGGAGACAGTGCTCCTGTCACTCTTCCTAAAGAAGCAAGAGGTGCACACAGACGTACATGTTGTCACACAGTGACTCATCCAGAAGGTGTGGGGGGGTTGTGTCTTGAACGTCAGCTGCTTTATTTTCCTGCTGTGCTTTCAAGAGCAGGACATGTTCCTAGTGATCACTATGATGGATGTTTTTCTGAAGGAAGAGGAGCACTGCAGAGTTGAAACAACACGCTCATGGAAGTTAGAGCCTGCTGCTGTTGGGGTTTCTTTTCAGATAAGAATTTACCTGGAGCTTTCCACTTGGGAAAACAGGGTGGTCTCTGTACCTTCATGGTTTCACATCAGAAAGTCAAAATACAGAACATGGCTTTTGTTCTGAGAAAGAAAATTTCCCTCAGAAATTTTGTCTGAGAACAAAAATTGTTACCTAGGATGTTCAGTTGCATCATCCAGTGGTATTCTCTCTCTCTCTCCTGAACTTTTACAGTCTGTCAGTCTGACAGTTTAAATTCTGCAACATGCAACAAGTAAGTTTGTAAATCCCTAAGAAAGCAAAAGGTCCTAAGATTTCTTCTCCCATGCCTTCCTCAGCTTACCTGTGAAAGTACAAGCTACATATAAAGTGAATTTATAAATATATCACGCTCCAATATTCAGGTATAAGAAAGGACTCTCCTCGTCTCTTCTCTTAGTGACATATGGAATGACAAGTTCCAATGCCTATTACTACACCAAAGTGATGTCTGAGCTCTTTCTGCAAACCTCTTCAGATGGCCGTGTCTCCTTCCAGTCCATCGGCAGCATGGCTGACTTCTGGATGGTGAGTACAAATCTGGTCCAGCATGGGCAACCCTGAAATCTCAGCTAGACTGGGATATTCAGTTTCCTCTGAATTTGCTACCTAGTGATTTCAGCAAGGCATTTTATTGCCACAAGCTTCTGCCAGCTACTAGCAATAGTTACAATAACATTTGCATGCAAAATACTCACTGACTTAAAATATCATTTATCCCTCTGAGCACTGTGGCCAGAACACTGGCTAGGCTAAGTGTTGTGTGTGCCCAGAGGAGTCCATTTCCCAGTAACTTACCAGCTGAACAGGCAGGACTTAACAAAAAAATTAAAGTGGTCTGAGCATCAGATGGGAAGTACTGATCCAGAGAGGCCAAAGGGATTTACTTCATGTTTCCGTGTGGTACAAGTGACTTTGAATCCTACAGTTCAATGCCTTCATGCTGGTGTCTTAGTAATAGGCCTTTGTCCATTTTCACGGCAATTTGAGAACAGCATATTTAACCTGTCTGTAATTCACACCTGGGCTTGTCTGATCTATAGATTCTTTATGATGAAGCTGGATTAGAATTTGCACTGACTTTTATCCAAGAGAATAAAGAAGGGGAAAGATGTCTGGGGTCTAACATATTTCTGTCAAAGAACTGGTGAAGGAATAATGAGAGCACAGTGAAGACCACTGAGTTATTGCAACCACTTATCTCTGACAGACAGAAATTGTTCATCAATTACATTTGTCTTTTTCTATCATATTAAAACACTACAGCAAACAATGGCACTGTTGTTTTTCCCCCAGTGTTTCCAGGGCACTGGCACATGCTCTTTTCATAATTCACAACTGATGCCAAGGCAATTCCTTGAGACTTGTGCTGACTGAAGTGGAAGAGACAAAGAGACTTGCAGAGCTCGTCTCTTTATGGGCCCAGGAAGGTGCAGCAGCCATACAACAGGCCTGTGAGAAACCAACGACAACCCTGCTGCCCAGCATCCCTCCTCTACCACCAGCCCTGGTCTTTCCCTTCCTTAACATACATCCAACACAAGCTTCTACTACCTTTGTCTTGGGGAACAGAGAGGGGCAGGTCAGGTCTTACTATCTCAATCCCAGGCTATGAAAATTCCTCTGTGTGAGCTACAAAGAGTTTGTTCTCCTCTCCCTCCCTTGCAGTATGCACAAGGTCCCCTTCTGGATAACCTTTACTGGACAAAGTGGTACAACAACAAGTCCCTGACAGCGCACAGCACCCAGTCGTACATCTATTATGAGAACCTGCTGCTGGGTGTCCCACGCATGAGACAACTGAAGGTGAAGAACAATTCCTGTGTGGTCCATGATGACTTCAAGGAGGAAATCTCAGGCTGCTATGATGTGTACTCAGAAGACAAGGAGGAAAGGGTCTCCTTCGGGCTCATCAATGGAACCGCGTAAGTACATCTAAGCCAAATAGTCTCTTCTAGTTAAAACAAGATCTGCTGAGCTGCAGGATGCTGAGGGTGTGTCCCAGTTTAAATGAGACAAGGGTCTTTTGCTGAGGATGGATTAGGAGGAAAAGACCCAAACTTCTCTTTCCAAGCAATTATAAATCCAAAATTAAGAGGCTTCGATTGAAGGAAAACAAATTATGGAAAAGGGAAAATAACAGCCCTTTATTAAAAGGTATGTGTGTATTAACAGGAACATGAAAAAAACCAAGTAAAATAACTAAGTAATACTCCTATACCCACCAATAATCCCCTTCAAGAACAAAACCGATAAACCGGCAAAAGGAAAATAGTTCAATTTCTTGCACCCTTTGGTGCAGTTCCAACCACAGTCAGCAGGGGGCGCCGTCGGGTCACTGGAGATGAAAAATTTGTAATGTCCTGTACCATTCACCAGGTGGCGCTGTTGGGTCACTGAAGGTGTAAAAAACTTGTAGTGTCCTATTGTAGTCACCAGGTGGCGCTGTTGGATCACTGAAGGAGTAGAACTTGTAATGTCCAGTGCCCGTCACCAGGCGGCGCTGTGAGATCCTTGGCTGCCGCCAGGTGGGGGGGGGGGGGGAAGAAGGGGAAGGAAAACCACAGCAATAAAACAGAAAGTTCTCCCAATGGAAGAAAACTCACAAACTTTAGCTGATTAGGATCCGTTGTAAGCAGGGCTGCAGCCAGCCAGAGTTGAGCCAAGAGTAGCAGCCAGAGTTCCCCTCCGACAGGAAAGAGACAAAGGAACCCGGCAGTGTCTGCAGCCCGCAGCAGCCTCTCACCCCGGCAGTGAGAGAGAGACTCTCCTCCCCCCCCCAGCCTCCACCCCCTTCCAGTCACACACCAGCCACCTCCCCCCTTCGTTGTCAAGGAAACAAATCTCGACCATTAGGGGCTCGGGCCGATTCCTTTGTTCAACTAAATGGGCAATATACAGAGCACACACACACACACACGGCAGGAGGAAAGGAAAGAAAAATTCCTTGCTAAAAATACGAACTATGACAGGGTGTTTCTCACACAAGGCTGGAATTCCCCTTGCAATCATAGGCAGCAATTTTGTCTGTCAATAAGATCAAGGAAAAGCACAACTTTCCCTGTTGGGAAAGCCATGAAAAATCTAGTGGAAAATTAGGTAGAAATTGTTGCCTGTTTTTAAGAGTGTGAGGTTAAATAAAGACCTTTGGGACTAGATTCATCCAAAGGATGATCCTATTTGCTTTCTTCTGGGATTTCAGGAGCCAAAGAGAAGGGCATACATCCCTTTCATCTTGACAACCTACTTCTCTATAATAATGTGAGGTAGCTTCAGTTTAATAACTCTTTACTTGCTGCATGAGTCTTGATCTGTGAACAAGAAGTTATTGTTCATAAGGAAATATGAGTGCAAGAGTGTTCTAAGCAGACGATTGTGTGCAATGTGTGTAGAAGGCAATAGAGCAGATCCTGGGAGCAACCCCCATGAAAATAAGACTGACCTAGCCAATGGATCTCCAAATTTTCCCTCTATGTGCATATGTCACTGCTGGGAAGCACTAGACTAGAAAACTAACAATAATAAAGAACTGATGTAGGGCCAGATCTGGAATAGGAATTAAGTGTCAATTCTTTAATTAAAAACTGTTGAAGATATAGTCTAATTTTCCAGGCTACAAGGTGATATCCAGACCTGGGATGGTGAAGCCTTTGCTTATGGTTTGTCTGTTGCAGGTGGAGGTACCATTCTGAGGAGGAGCTTGGTGGTTCATCTCACTGGGGAAGACTAACCAGTTACAGTGGGGGAGGATACTACATAGACTTCAAGTTGACCAGAGAAGAGAGTGCTGAAGCCTTGCAAGTCTTGAAGGAGAAGTTATGGCTGGATCGGGGAACACGAGTTGTCTTCATTGATTTCTCTGTATATAATGCAAATATCAATCTGTTCTGTGTCCTGAGGTAAGCTGATTCCAGCTGAACATTCTTCAGCTTCTTGCATCTTCCTCAGTGCCATGGTTTCTTAAAATGCAAATACTTTATTAAGGTCTACCAGTGGGGTAGGTCTGAGTGGTGTCAGTAGAAATTGTATGGATTAAGAAGAAGTGTTGGTCTTCCTGACATAACCAGTCACACTTTTCTTTATCTTTCACCCTTTCCTGTCACAGGCAGTGAAGCAGCAGAGATATGGCTGTGTACACACATGCACAACTCTTCCACTCATGGTCTAGTGGATAGCTCATGCTCAAGTTTGATGCCTCTCAAAATAATCCCAGAGCCTCCATCCTCTTGTTTATAATTATCAGAGTTTTCTTGTCCCCTTCAAGGTTAGTTGTTGAGTTTCCAGCCACTGGTGGTGCCATTCCTTCCTGGCAAATCCGGACAGTCAAACTTATACGATATGTCAGTGCATGGGACTTCTTCATTGTTGCCTGTGAAATTGTATTCTGTGTCTTCATCTTCTACTACGTGGTGGAGGAGACTTTGGAGTTGCGTATCCACAAGCTTCAGTACTTCACCAGCATCTGGAACATCCTGGATGTGGTTGTCATTCTGGTGAGAACCCTTACACACATTTTGGGGGAGCAATCACAGAGAGGTATAAGAGCAGAAATAAATGAAAGAATGTGGGAACTAGTCCAGATAGGACAAGAGCTGGCACAAGTTTTGCTCTAATACTAAAGTGAACTAGCAGAATAAATGGATATATGCTCTTCTGTCAAATGTTAGGGGAAAATTCTTTCTTTATAGATGTCTGAGAGACTGTGAAATCATTCAGTGCATCAAGACCTTATTTCCATCCCCCACCAGTAGACTGCAACTGTGGACTGCTATATCAAGGAGTTCTGTGACACTTTAATTTCTGAGGAAAGCATAGGTACAGTGGTCACTGCAGACTATTCTTCTTCTTCTTTGCAGCTCTCCATTGTCGCCATAGGGTTTCACATCTTTCGCACCATTGAGGTGAACAGGCTGATGGGAGAGTTGCTGAAACACCCCAACACCTACGCAGACTTTGAGTTCTTGGCATTCTGGCAGACTCAATATAACAATATGAATGCAGTCAACTTATTCTTTGCCTGGATCAAGGTATTGTAGTGGGTCTGGAAGGTGCCAGGTCTCCAGTCAGACCTCTTCCCCTAGGTAATTTGGTGGTTGTCTCTTCCATCCCTCTGAGTAAATGAGTGTAACAGCTATACAATAGAGGATTTTCCTCAAAGTCATATGCTCTGCTTTGCAGTAAATCTGGACAACTTTTCACCCTACATTCTGAGACCAGTTGTTGGTATTGGAAGATAACACCCAGGGAGATGAGCTCAGAGATTTTGGTGGAAAAGTGGTTTTAGGAAATGCTGAGTACAATGTAACTTTGTCCATCCTGTATTATTTTAGTATTCCAGAGGATAATCTTGCAAACCATGTTTTCCTTTCATGATGGCCCCTCAAGAAGTGGAAATTACTCATGTGTTGGCACGGACTTTGCATTTCAACCAAAGCATCTTGGCATGGTGGAAAGCCACTTTGTATTTGGGGCTCCTTGCTAGCTTTAGGAAATCTGTCCTTCTAGCTGTCCCTGTTTTATATTTTCCTTTGACAAAGGGAACAAAGCCATATGTTTATGACCTCCAGGAGGATGGCAGCACACCCAGGAAAAATATCCTGAACACTAAGCCACTATTCCTCTAGCCTGGCTTTCTTCTCAGTACTTTGGTACTATAGTGAACCTCTTGTCTCAGCAAGCATACACGTACCTGAAAGAGACTGACCTAGCTGATGGTTTGACCTAACTTTGTCCCCATTCTTTCATCTTGCAGATATTCAAGTACATTAGCTTTAACAAAACAATGACCCAGCTCTCCTCCACACTGGCACGTTGCGCCAAGGACATCCTGGGCTTTGCCATTATGTTCTTCATTGTCTTCTTTGCCTATGCCCAGCTGGGTTACCTTCTCTTTGGGACACAAGTGGAAAACTTCAGTACCTTTGTTAAATGCATGTAAGTGTATAAGATAGAACCACACTGCTGTAATTTTATCAAAAGAATTTCAACTGCTTTCCATCCTTCCCTGCAGATGCAAATCTGAATGTCAATCAGACACCTGTTTTATCTCATTGTAATAAAGCCACAACATTTAATAAGTCACTCATAGTCCTCTGGTTGTGACATCTTCATGGACAAAAGAACACAGTGAGAAAATTGATTGTAACCGACAGATTTCTGGTTGTCAGGGTTTATTGGTAAGGATGAGTAGCTGAACCTACATTCTGACTGACTTAAACCCTGCTCTGGTTTGTTCCTGTGCCCATCTGGGCTGCAGGCAGGTTCAGGTTCACCTCAGGACTGTTTGAGACTGTAGGATAAATGCATGTGCCTTTGTGTGATCTTGGGCTCTTTCTTTCCTCCAGCTTCACCCAGTTTCGGATCATTCTCGGTGATTTTGACTACAATTCCATTGACAATGCCAACAGGGTCCTTGGGCCTATTTACTTTGTCACCTATGTGTTCTTTGTTTTCTTTGTGCTCCTGGTAAGCAAGAAAGTACTCCTTGTCCCTGTACTGACAGCAGTGTTTGAGAGACCCCTCCTGACAATCCCTGAGTTAGGTGCAGTGCAAATGCTTAGAGGGAAAGGGAGTTCATTATGGAAGCTTTGCAGCGCAAATAGACACCGTAGGCAAAGAGTGTGTTATTACAGTTGGGGATTTGATTGTGAGGGTGATTAAGGGCCTTATTCACATCTTCTAAGGTGAAGACTAAATCTGACTGGGAATACCACTAATGTGTTAGCTGAATTCAAGTAGATCAGATCAGCTGTTTTGTAAAAGGCAGTGAAAAAAGCATGGGGGACAGACTCTGGCTTCCTAGGCAATGGATACAGAGGGATGCTCATAACATCCAGGTTAAACATCCAGTGTCAGAAATCCAAATGTAACTGAAGATTTTGCAAGAAAAGCTATCAAAGGTAGTATTTGAAATGGTAACAAATACCTCCAATCACTGCTTTCACTGCAAAAATGTGAAAAAACACAGTGTGGCTGAAGCAGGCCTTCCCTTTACCCACTTTAGTTTGCCTAAGAGAGACCCTGTGAGGAAATAGCTCCTTGTTTAACTAAGTCCTGCCTCTTGCTGCTTCAGCTGCTGGAGCAGGCAAGATGTCTTATGCATGTTCACCTCTCTTCTTCCCCTTTTTCTAGAACATGTTTCTGGCCATCATCAATGACACCTACTCAGAAGTCAAGGAGGAGCTTTCAAGCCAGAAGGATGAACTGCAGCTCTCTGACATCTTGAAGCAGGTGACGAATAGTGAAAGCCCTGCTACTTTCTAGCTAAATCATGAAGCACTTTTTGGAAGTCCCTAAACTAAGTAGAATTTACTAGAGAGAAACAATGGTTGCCAACTTCAGATCCATCTTCTTTGTGTGCACAGGACTCGCAGTTCCTTTCAGGGATAAATCAAGCTCCCAGATCCTTTAGCAATGAGAAGATGAAAAAGCAGGGGTTGAGGGAATCTGGTTACTTGATGTAGTGTTTCTGAGAGAATTTTCTTCACAGGATGGTCTCTAGGCAAAGTTCTTTCAAGTCCTTGATAGAATGTACTTTGATCAATAACATGGCAGGTCCTACTTTGCTAAGCTGAACATGTCACAGTGGTGCAAACCTAGTGAGTTACGTCTGGATTTCCCATGGGCAAATTCCAGAAAAGTTCCTGGAAGGTCACAACTCCGCTGTGGGAGCAATATTCTGCAAAGAATAGTATTTGAGCCATTATCTTAAACAGCTGATGGACTGTGAAATCAGATAAAGGAAGAATTGTGAGAAGAAAAGCAGAGGACTAGCATGTTGGTGCCACTTTGAAGGTGTGGTCCTTGTTTAGAGATGAAGTTCATTCAGCAGTGTTGTATTTTTGGAAATAGGTTTTGGGGAATATTTTTGCTTGTGGAAAACTTATAAACTTCCTGTATTACTTAGCATAGGCTCACCTGTGCTCTGCTCTACTTTTGACTGTTCTGTCTGCGTGATTCTGTGTCTGTTTGCACCTTTGGTAACAGAGCTACAACCGGACACTCATGAGGCTGAAGCTGAAGAAGGCGCAGATTTCCGATGTGCAGAAAGCACTTCAGAATGGAACCAAAGAATTGGACTTTGAAGACTTCAAGAACAGCTTGAAGGAGTGAGTGAGTCATCTTGGTGGATACCCGCTTAGCTCTTTCTGTTGGTAACACAGGTAATCTAGATTCTCTGGTTTTCAAGACTGGGAGAGCATTTAGCTCAGATCTGGGCAATGTAAGACTCAAAAAAAAGTAGTTATCTTTCCTCACATGTTTATTCTCCTGGTCTAAATAGGTTTGTGCTACTATCTCTTGCCCATTTGGGGTGTTAAGGTTTGTCACTGGCAGGAGGAAACCATACACTGATTTCAAAAGTGGTGTTCTTAGTGTAATTCTGTGCTTTGAGTTTTCTCTGTCTCTTCTTTTCCAGACTGGGCCATGCAGACCATGAAATCACAGCAGCTTTCTCCAGGTTTGACAAAGATGGCAACCACATCCTTGATGAAGAGGAGCAACAGCAGATGAAGCATGACCTCGAGGCAAAAAGGGTAAAAAAGGGCAAGGGAAAAAAATCTTCTGTTTGGTAGAGTTTGCTCCAAAATGGCCCCAGGAATCTTTTTGCGTTTGTGGTATAAACTAAGCAGGCAACTCAAATACAGTTCCAACTGTGCCTGAATTACAGCTGAGTATATCGTTGCCTGTGAAGCTGTGTGTTATTCACAGTAAAGCTGACTCAGAGTTAGTATCCAGCTTTGCAGAAGTTTCTTTATCTTCCAGGTTGCTCTGAATACAGAGATTGAAAATTTGGGGAAATCCTATGGTGGAAACAACCTGGATGAGAATCTGATCTACAGGGAAGCAAGAGATAACCACACCAATAAAGCCAGCTGGGTCTCCAAAGAAGAATTCCAAGTGTATGTTTGTGCTGTTGGTAGTTTCATCCCTCTGCAAATGAGGGGTCTGATTCCCTACTTCTTTCTTCCGTGATGTAACTCTTTACAGTAGTGTTGAGCGGTTTCAGTAAAATCTTGTCTCTTTTATCTTGCACATGCATAAATAAGCAGGTCAGGAAATAACTGGGACAATTCTAGTAATGTAGTTTGCTTGTTCATATAAAAAATTGAGTTAAGAAATTTTGCTTTCTGCCTCTTGAATAATCTCTGCAGCTGTCAGTTGGCCACAGGCAATATGCTGTCATGTTTCAGATCAGAAGGTGGCCCAGAAAACTGGGCCAAGGGAAGTTGATACCTTTACAGAAGATCCTGTGGGAATAAATATCCTTGATTTATAGCCTAGTTGGCCTTTATCGTCCAGGTCCAAGAATAACTCTTGGCTGTTTCTTCCACAGCAGGAGCATTGGATAAATGTAGCACAGAGAATCAGGAGATTTGGATTCTGCTACTCAGAAACACTGAGCAAACCACATAGGGCCATATCAAAGGAGAGGCAGGTGCAATATTTAATTATATGGAATTATATTGTGTCTGGACAGTGATCCAAAGTGGCTGGGATCCATCCTAAGCAGAATCACTGATTACAGATGAAAACACAGTACAGCAGGAAGTTATGCCTTCAGTGGGTGTGAATCAATTATCTGACAGGGAGCATTCTCTCCTGTTTGAGGTCTGGCCCATTGTCTGTGAGATATTTGCTGCAAATCCTACTAATCATCACAAGAAAAAGCTTACAAATGCTCTCCATGTCTCCCCCAGCCTGCTGCAACGTGTACTGCAGCTGGAACTGTCTCTAAACAGCACTGGCTCCAAGATTGATGCAGTGGTGAGCAAGCTCGATGTGCCAGAAGGAAACAAGCTGAAGAGGGAAGACCTGGTGGGTAAACCACTGGATGATGTTAGTAAGGTTTGTAGCCCTCCACCATGCACTTGAACCTGCTTCACATTAGGTGACCAGCCCTGCTCTGTGAAAGTACCTGGTGTCATCTTTGCTTTTCCAATCCCCATTGCCATAAGACAAAAAGGGTTGGGCAGGGTCGGCATTCTGTATGATCCAACCTTTTCTGTTCAAGAAAAGTGACACAAAACCTCTTGCTTTTATGTCCCCTCAGTTAACCACGGTATCTGTAAACACACCTTCTGGCTCCTTTGAGGCCAAGCTCAATCCTGTGGCAGTGGATGCAATTCACTGACAATTCAGTTGCTTGGTAACTGCTTATCCTCAGACATTAAAAGAAAAATTATGAGACAGTCCTTTCCAGGAAGAACAGCTCATGACAGTGTTGTGAACTGTGATCTTAACAACAACTTGCCTGTGGATATTTATCAGACGTATGTGATGGAAGACTGTTAGCAGTGTGCTTACAGCATCTCATTGTAGAATTGTGACTTTTGCCAAAGACTGCCTATATCCAGTCATCCAGCGTATTTTGGATCTTCAGCTTTAAAGTCAAAGGCAGCAAGGCATGTGGGAACCACGTCATTACTTCATGCTTTTATGGCCCTAATAATGAGAATAGCCAAATGGCACAAAGTGACCTGGCTGAGTAAGAAAGAAGCCTTCCTTTTACAGAGTAGTCTTGTGATCACTTCCCATATGAAAGAGTGTCCTGGGAGGTCCAACTTCTCATGTGAATGTACCTGAAAGCTTATTTGAGTAATTATTTGCAGATTTGCTTTGCCACAGCATTTCTTGTAGAGGGTGAAAAGGGATGAATCTCTCCTCCTTTGTTTAATACTTGAATGTGCATTCATCACTGTACTGCAGCAAACAGTATATTAGATCTTTAGTAGACAGGCAGGATTATACTAATTCTGAAAGAATATGGGAAGATACTTAAGTATCATGCACACCTTGCCTCTCTCCTGGAGTGTTGCTGAAGTTCTTGGTACCTTTTTTCTGGTTCACAGGAGCAAGAAGCCAGGCAGGAAGAGCTGCAGCCCCAGAGCCTAGACCAGCTGGGGAAGGAAGAAGCAGAAACCTGGGGGATGGAACATGTACAGAGAAACAACCTGAGTGGCAGCTATTCTCAAAATGGTGTCTACCACATCTTGCCCAGGTCAAACATGCTGGGGTCTCGAGCGTCCAAGAACATCATCCAGCCATAGTCGAATGTGCACTTCTAGCAAACAGCCAAGTGCTCCCAGTCTGGCTCCCATGGTACTAAGTCACTGTCAGTTGCTCCCCCACTGTTGAGATAATCCAGACAGCTGGACACAGACACCACTGTTGCCAGGAACTGTCTATGTGAAAAATTAGGGCTGCTCTTCTTCAGTGTGATGATGTATAATGTCACAGAGTAGAACTGCTGCCCTCTCTGCCCCGCTGTCTCTGCAGTAGGTGAAATTTGGAACCAGGTAATGTATTAGGTTTCTGCCTCTGAACAAGCTGACACAAAGTCTCTTATCTATCCTTTCCCAAAAAGTAGGGACCCCAGAACTCTGAACACTTGTGTCCAGAGTGGCATATTGCAACTTGTTCCCAACACACGCAATTGTCTGCAGAAAACAGATGTGATTATATTAAGTTTTCTTTATGTTATAATCTCTAGAGTGAGATGGAAAGAAGTTTAGTTGTGTCTACCTGGTTACAGACAGTTTTGTTCTGCTGTAGTTTGTTTCCAGATTACCTTGGTAACCTTCTCTGTATCTTAGATTCAGATGCTGAGAGAAGAGGATACTAACACCTAGCTTTGGCCAATTAAAATGAGAAATGACTGACAGTTTAATTGGAAGGAAATCTGAAATACTCTAAACTAAGAACCAGTTGTTATTGGTAAAGTCTTGGGTCTGAGTGTTAGGGAACAAACTTCTGGTTATATGGTTTCTAACACAGCTGTTGATACTCTATCATTTATTTTCACGCTCCTTAAACTACATCTCAAGGTTCTTCAAAAAACTAGCACCACTTTTATGAAGCTCTGATCTTGTTTTTGCCAAGGAAACAATTTGCAGTTGTGGGTGCTGACACCGTTTCAGTTGAAGAATATGGTGAAAATGAGATGTGTCCGTTTTTCAACCGCATGCATGCAAAATACTTCTTTTCCAGGCATTTCTCCCTTTGCTGAGACTTCTCTTTCCTTCTAACTGGTGCAGACTATTGCTGCTATTACAGGATCACTGTAAATGTATTCAAAATATCTTAATCACTGGTATTCTACAATAGTTAAGCTCAAGTAAGCTCTGTAGGCTTAAAGCCAATAGAAATGTGAGTTGTACCAGACAATTGCTAACAGCTCTCATTAGTGCTACACTGTTTAGCATGCTATGCAGTGCAGTGATAAGTTTCAGCTGCAAGGACCGAGCAGGAGCTGTGAGGAGGAGCTTGTCACCCAGCCCACAGTGAGCTTAGATTTTGGACTGGAGCTGTGGGCGCAGAAACCAGAGGCTTCACTTCCCATCAGCAGGAATTGTTCACAATTCACTTCCCATCAGCAGGTCCTGCTGTTGGGAACAAGACTTACCTGTGAGACATTGCCATGGTTCTTGACTCCCAGTTCCACTGAATTCAGAATTAAACAAGATCTTCCTACCTTCAGCTTTTCCAGATGAACTTGTATCAGTGGTGTTGCTTACTTCCTCCTGCTCTCTGCATTGAAGCTATTATCTTATTCAGAACTTCCCGAAATGGGCCTTCTTTCTTCTTTTTTTTTTCCCCAAAATTTTAATTAAACAGGAAATCTCTATGCTAAATTGTATTTGAACAGAGGAACTATGTGCTCTGTAATGGGCTTGAAGAGCACACACAGCCCCTTGCAATTAACTAATCAGGTCCTTTGTGTATTGAAAGACACAGAGGGAGGTTCTTCCTTAAATTCATTTGTAAGACCCTGTTTTAGATCCTGGATCAATATCAGTCTATGGTTACCGAGGCATAATTGCAAAATCAAAAATGGAGGCTCTTTCTTTGAGGTCTCTGAAGGAGTGCCTTTTCTACAGGCTCAAAATATTGGGTGAGGTTCTGAGTCTGTGTTACTGCATAGATATGAAATACTCAGGATGCCAATCTGTGAAGAACTAAGTCTAACACCATGGGAGAGATCCAAGAAGCAACTGTCTGCTTGAGGTGGTTGATCCTGTGCTAATGCAGTCAGTGGAAGATATGTTGCTGGTTGAGGCTTAGATTCTGAAGAGAGCAATAATTACTGTGAAGGCAATAGGATCCTGAAATCATGTCTTGCCAAGAAAATGAAGGTAAAAATTATCATCTGTAAGGCCTGGCTTTATAAAGCCTCAGATTTCTCACAGAAAGAATGTTGGTTTGGTTCTGCTCAAGAGAATAACCTTCTGCAGAGAAGGTGGCACAGGACCTCCCTCTTTGCATTGCCCAGTTTTTCTGTTTGCCTTTTCAGCTGTACCAAACACCCACAAGACCAGCCCCACGGATAACTTGCCCACTGAGGCAGGGATACTGCAGCACAGTGAAAGAGCCTGTCAGTAGGCACGGGAAGGCAACCTCCACCACCCTGCTCCTTTCTGCATAGGGACCCCCATAAGTGTCAGGGAAAGCAGGGGGAGCACAGAGGACAATGGTGTGATAGCTGGACTCAGATCCATGGGACAGTGACCTACAGCCTCAGGCAACCAGCTCATAGGCACTGTGGTCTGCTCTTTAGGGCAGCAGGAGAAACAAAATGCTCATGTTTGTGCTGCAGGGTTTGTTCTTGCCCAAAACTTGGGAAGTCAGCTTTCCCCTGCAAAGGGAGGGCAGGGGAGTCTCTACAGGGCCACTGCAGCTGGCAGAGATGCCTGCCCCTCACTCTGCCTCTCTGTAGCCAGAGACTGTAGCCAGGGACTAGACTCTAGACCAGCTTGCCAGGGCTCCCCCTTTCCCACTGGCAAGAACAGCCTGGCAGCCTGTCCTCCTTTGGGCTTGGGTGGCAGTAGTCAACCTGCCATGCTGAGGAGCCCTAAACCAGCTCTGGCTGGGATCAGACAAGAACTGCAGGCTGCTGTGGTCTCCTGGGTCAGCTCCTTTCTCCCTTTCTGGCAGAAAGACCACTCCCTTCACCCTGTGCTGTGATTTTGATAGTCCCAATGCTGCTCAGTGTAAGAAAATTCTGTCACTGGCATGTACCTGTGACTGCATTAATGTCTTCTCTCTTAGGTGTATCTCTCCATGCAACTGTGACTTGTCTGTTCTATGTTCTCATTGTCACGTATATGATGTGTCCTAGAGTAGGGCAAGGAAATTACTTGTTTTCGGTAAGCGCTTGTGTGTAATCGTTAGTTGTGTCTTCAAGCTGGTTAAGAAATAACATAAATACAGTGAATGGTAAGTTCATACAGCTTTGCTTTTCACATGTGTGTTGTCAGGCCTCCTATATAGCTGTTATAATTTAGATGATGTATGTCTGATGGGGAAAGTAAAGTACTTTTTCCTCAAAAATCTAGGTGCGTAGCTGTGTTTTATTTCAATCTGCAGAGGGGAGCCTTCCAAACTGCCGCTGTCCCAGCTGTGCCTTGAGGTGGTTAAAATCTTTGGGAGGAGATTTTGAAAAGTATAAGGTGCTCTGAAGAGATACCACCACCGCGGTTATGTACGTGTGCAGTCGCAGTGGATATGATCTGTCACCCATTCTGGTAGGTGCTGTGTGTGCTCCAGAGAGGCTGACTTAGAGCACTCTCAGATTCAGCCAAGGGAGAAGGAAAACAGTGTCCTAACCATGGTTCCCAAGCACAAAGTGAGGCACAGAGAGATTCATTGACGTGTGCAGGGAGGGGCACAGCAGAGACATCTGAAAGCAGGCTCAGGTACCTGGCAAGGGGCAGCCCCAACCAGTCGTGGCCATGAGCATGGAAAGCTCGTGGTAGCATCTCTTCCTTGCCTCTCTCCAAGAATATGATGCCATTATCATGACAATGAGCAAGCCTAACTTTTCATGTTTAAAAAGAACACATAAATCTCCAGAACCCCCACAAATACAGCCAATCTCTATTTATGTTATGTATTTATGTTATTTTATGTTACCTATCAGCCAGTTCTAGTTTACCAGTAGATGTCAGCACTACTCACAATCCTTTGTACCTACAGCCCCTTCTCATTCTGTTTTCAAAGGAGACCAGAAGCAAGTCTCCCATTTGTTTTACTCAGAGAAACTGAGACAGAGAAAAATTTCTTTCTTGGTGTCAGAGGAAAGACAGAAGCAGAATTCAGGGTTTCCAACACTATGATTCTAGACCCTCACACTCGGTATATTTGTTTCAGGCTTTATCTGTCTGGCAGATCCTTCTCCCTACAATCTGTAAACAGGGTTTGTAGAGGTTTTGCTTATTTTTTTCAATCTTGTGGAAAGTCCTTAATAAGTGCTATTATTAGCTAGAGCTGCTGCTAACTACTCAGCCTTTAGCACAGGAGGTTGTTGTCTGGAGACTGCCCTGCCCCTGACTCTTTTACAAACACACCCTAGCAGGAGTCACTTAAAAAGAAAAAAACTACATCAAGGAAACAACTATCAGTATTCACAGAGTTCATCAGTAACTAATGAAAAGGGAGGGGAGAAACCAGCAGCACCTGATGCTCCAGCTGATTACAAACCCAGATGACGCGTCATGCCGTCCTTCTACTGGTCACAGAAGCCCTAATTCAGGGTCTCCAGACCTGAAAGCAAGGAGCCTGGTAGTGTGAGAGCATTAGAAGTAAGAGGAATTTCAGCTGAGTGCCAGGTCCAGCCCCTGTGCTGGGCTCAGTGGCCAGGGGATATGTCAACATGAACATGTTTTGGAGAGAGGTGGAAGAACTCAACGTTTGAGGAACTGACAAACAGGCCCTGCTCATGGCCAGGTTTCAGAGGTGGAGAATGCCAGGCGTAGCTCATTGCCAGTCAGCCATGCTGCACACATGCCAGGCACCTACACGGGTGGCAGAAGGGTGCCAGCCCCCTGGGGTGCGGTGAGCTAAGGCCCAGCCCAGGCTGAGGAGTGCTGAAGGAGGAATGCAAACGCTCAGTTGACAAAACAATGGCTGTTCGATGATGGGTCTCCAGCCTGAAGTCAGCCAGGCTTTGCTGGGGCATGCCACAGCAAGTTACCGAGAGCCCACGTGCCAGGCAGTGACAGGGTTCTACAGTGCAGGGTGTCCCAAACAGCTCTGGATGGTCCTATTTCCTGAGCACTGTCATCCGCAGAAGATACCAATCATTTCTCTGCTGGTACAGTCACCTCTAGGTGCCAGAAGGCACAGCAGCCTAAGAAACAGCCCCTCAGAGCAACATGCAAAACAGGAGCTTGACGCTGACTTTGCTTATGCTGCCTGAGAAGAGACTGAGAAGCCATCCCAAGAGGTCATTTCTAGTGGCTGTGACTACCTTCAGGGTTCTCTTCTGCAAAAAGCATCAGAAATAATAAGTAGAACAGACAGAAAACCTCCATATATGTGCATGCAAACATGGATGCACACACCAATGTATTGCTGTAATGTGTCAAACCACCCAGGTTGTTCAGACATGTCTGGAGTTCACAAAGCGAGCAGGCTTTGAAAGCATGTACAAAGATTTCTGGGACAGACAAAAGGCCAGAGCTTCTTCTCAGTTTCTTATATAATAGACAACTGTTATGGCAACAAGAGATGGTAGGCTTTCTGAATCCTTTCAGGAATGCAGCCTCTTCTGCCTCAAAGGGTTTTATCCTCTTCAGGCCCAGAAGAAGCCATGCCACTAGCACCCATTCTCTACCACATAGGTACAACAACAGTGGAAGTCCCATTGAGTCTGGTCCCTGAGCTGCTTACTGGATCACATTGGTCAGTAAGACTATGGGTTTAAGCAAACCATAGTGGAAGGAGACTTGTGACATCCAACCCATGTCTAGATTTTATAAGAACATCAACAGTGGAGGGAAAGTGCACAGTGTGGCACTGAAATAGTCACCTTGGTCACCTCCTGTGTGTGCTGAACACACTGTTAAAGGCCTTTGCAGCTCTGATTTCACCAACCTTGTCAGGTTTGGCAGGATTTGTGAGAGAGGTCAGGGAGATCTCTCAGGAAGGAAACCCGCAGGGGCTATGTTCATGCTTGCCTGTTCTTTGCACAGGGGAGGAGAAGGAAAGCCTTCAATGTGAATTGCCCAGCCAGGGCCATGGTGGTTCAATGGAAGGCAGTGGTCTGTGGGCCACGTTTCAGCTACAGAGGTCTTCTGCTCTGGTGAGATATGTAACAGCTTGGTAACAACTGTATTGCTGAGGAGGTGCTCAGAGTAGAGCAGGAGAGAAGGCTGAAATGGATGGAGATTGGTGCACAAGTGGGAAGTGGAGACACTGGAGCGGGGAAACAAAATGCAGCAAAGCTCATTAGTGATCTTATTTTTAAACAGAACAGATTGCACTCACTTTGGTTCTCTTACCAAATACTCATGAGCTGGAAGAGATGTGTCCAAATAGACTGTTCAGCATCTGGGCACCAGGGCCTGTGTCCGGCTGCTGTGGTCGGGGTCCTTGCCATGACACAGAACAAGGAACACCAGCTACAGAGTTCTTATGTCTCTCTCCTATATTTTTAGCCTGGTGTGCATGGATTGTTTCTGGATGTGCCTTTTCATACTCTTTAGAAGATGAGAGTGTTCAGTTTCTTGTCCTGTTCTTCATCTGTGAGTCATGAAGATTTATTCATTGTCCTTTCTCTCCCAGTCTGAGTGCCTGGAGGAGCTACCTCTAGATGTGCTGCTGTCCTGGTGAGCAGCTAAACCCAGTGTCATTAACACCTGCCACTCCTGGTGTTCCACACCCAGCCTCTCATTTACTTTCCATTCTGACCTATCTTAGCTTTTCTCTTGTGATTCTCTACCCACCCGGGTATCTCTCCCCCTCTGCCTCTTTTGCATGTACTAGTCATCTCCACTTACAAGCAGTTTCCAAACTAGGAGAGAAAAATTAGGTCTGAAGAGGAGCAGAGCAACACTGTAAAAAAAATTGAGATGCCCTGGCCAAGACAAACACCAGGCAGTGGCTTTACTGAAAGAGATAGCTAAATATTGAGATGCACTTGGGACCTAGTAGAACATAGCCAGTGAGGCCAGATGGAAGGTGAGTACAAGAGCTCTGGTTTAAATAGCTTACGAATGTTGTGCTCCTTCCTATGGTATTGTTTAGTGAGCTGTGCAACCAGGTGCTTTTTAATTTTTGTTCTCCTCTTCACCTGTTTTATTGCCTTCATCTTCAAGATAAAAATCCAAACATTTAGTCTGGTTTACTGTTTTGAGTTCTCTTTGATAACACTTGCTAGTTGGTGATTCCCCGCTTTTCTTCCTCAGTTTCCCTACTAATGAAACCGAGGAAGTGTGCATCAGAGGAGAGGACAGCTGAGATTTCTGAGCCTTTGCACTTTTTCTTTCACCTAATGTGGTGCTCTGAGTTGGAAGGTTGTGGTTCAATCGGCCTCTGTTAGGGTCATATAGCATGATATCTTAGGCATCTAGGAAGGCACAAAAGAAAGCGGAAGTTAAGGATGAGACAAAGCTAGTTTCTTATCTCTCCTTCTTCAGAATACAAGCTGTTTGCCCTAATGCTGTGTCATGTTCTGCTGTTGTGCAGGGCACCTTTGGTAAAGGATACTCTGAGGCTCTGGGTGTACAGCACCTATTGTAAAAAGTCTGAATCTGTTCAGGGCTGCCACAACAAATCCTAACGGCAGAAACTCAGGCCTTGGGAGTGAATAACAGTTAAATCAGTTTTTGGGAATGGCTGGTGGGGCCACCTGGACTTTGCTCCTGAGGAAGGAGGTGAAATGCCTACGTAACGTTGTGTATGTCAACATTCATGTCTATGGAGGGAGCTGACCTCTGTAGAGCTGAGCTGGGACAGATAAAACACACTTTAATCCTGTTGACCTCCTGCAGGCACTGAGGCCCTCAAAAGGGAAGCAAAAGGATGGAGTGCCCATTCCTGACTTGCAAATAGCAATACAAACTGTATGTCAGGGAGTCCTGTCCCAGGACCTTGGGCTGAATGTGGGAGAATCTTGTGCTGGGAATCTTGTATTGCTACCCCAGCTTAGCTTGGTGCATTTCTTGGTCTGAAGTCCCAGACTTTGTCCTAAAGGCATGAGAACACAGGGCAGTTGCAACTGCTGTCTTTCCAGATCTGCTTTGTGAAGGGAGGACATGGGAGCTTCCATTCTCCTTAGCAAGCTCCCAAAGTATTTCTCCTTAGAAGCTGCTATACAGCGTAGCTATGATCTATCCCTGGTCTAGCTCTCTATTCCCAGCTTTCTGATCAGACCTCACCATTTCTGCTCCCTCTGCATGTGTTATTCTCCTCTCTTCATCTACCTAGACTGTGGTAGAAAGGAGCATCTCTATATTTTTATTGTACATCTTATGGTAGACATAGGTTCTTTTTAACATTACTAACAGCAGTGAATCAGATTGGTAAATATCTGAGCATATTTAGGTTGTCGGCTTTTTAACTCCTGAAGAACTGCCATGGTGGTTTAGATGCACTAGACACTTTACAGTACAGATATCTGTGCCTGATTACTTGCTTTACCCAGACAATACCCATGTGTAGATCTGTTGATCCTGTAGTTCAACTACTCATGATTTCTGTCAGAATCAAGCCCGTGATATCTCAGCGTAGTGCACTAGTTAAATATTGATTTCCTTTTCTCAATTTGCTTGAAGTCCTTCTTATCTTTAACCAGTTATGGATTTAGTGCTACTATTAATTCAGATAATGGACTAAATGATTAACAAAGCCTGACAGAGTCAGATTTCTTCTACATAATCTGCAACTCTTGCAAAAGCCAACTTCCCCAAGGCAAGCAGCACTTTAACCAAGTAAGGGAGGCCAGTCAGCACTAGCTTTGACATGATGAGCAATCAGAGTGGAAAAAGCATAATGAGATGGTTTTTTGTGCCTAGGGTGGTGAATTTGTAGATGCAGCAGTTTCAGCACATGTGTATACATATGTACAGGGTGTGTCTTTTGGAATGGTTTAATGGAACTTTTGGAAAAGAAGAGCCAGGAGGCATCACTCAAGCATCAGGTCTGATATTGCCATCTTCTCCATTTATCTCAGAGCTGCTTTTATACAGCCCTGGCCACTGTTTTCTGTCCCTGTATTGGCAGAAATCTTCCTTAGGAACAGTATGAGTTAGATAACAGGATTAGTAAAATGATACAGTTGAAAAATACTCGCAGTTGGGGTGGGACATGAAACAGGCTGACGATCGTAAGGCTCTTGAAGAAGCCTAGAAGACTGCTGCTTGAAGAATGGGCTAGAGAAAAGCCAGAGCCTACAGCCAGATGCTGTATTTGGCAGATTTGGTTCCTTTCCCTATCTGGGGTCTCTGCCTATTTCTTTGCCATCAGGATGAGCTTTAGGCACAAGGGGCAGAGAAGTGGATTGGCCATTTCATGAAGTGTGGGAGGAGCAGTACTGTTTCCCAAAATTGGCATCCACCAATTCTGTCTGAGGAGCAGCTGTGCAGCTGAAGGTAACTCTCAAGAGTAACCTGAACTTTTAATTGTGCTCCTTCAGCGAGTTGTTCTCCTGCACCACTGTGCAGGCACTATGTTGAGCAGCAAGTTCATGACTCAGAAAATGCTCACCTTTGCTCTCAAGCACACAGGCTCTTTTTTTCTCACTGTCCCAGGCATATGACAAGAGAAGATTATCTCTGCAGCTTGTTGAGGGGTAGTGAGTATTTAGGGTTGAAATATATTTGAAGACAGAGATGTGCATGCTTGGTGAAACACTAGGGCAAAAGTCTTCAATGTAGGCAGATTTTCCTTGAAAGAGGAAGTTAAATCACAAAGGAAACATGAACTTAAGTCTATTTCTGACCCACAGAGTGACTGAAGATAACATTCAGCAAACTTGATCGTTGGGTGTACCTATGACAAAACCTGCCCTTCTGACAGATCTCTAAGGTTATTTGAATATTCCTATAAACCCACCTGCTGACTCCTGGCAGGCCTGCAGAGCAGTGCAGCTTCATAGGATGTGGGTGTCTCCTGTTTAGTGCAGCAACAGCATTGAGTACATCAGCATGCCTGGAGGGAGGCAGGTATGAGAATGGGAAGAGATGAGTCTTTGGAGTTTTTATTATTGTTACTGCCTGGGTAGCTAGTGGTATGTTTCAGCTTAGCTGAGCTTTAAATTGATCTAGCAAGAGGCGTTGTTAGAAGAAAGCAGTGCTGGACAGAACTGCAGAAGGTAGTCAAACTGGAGACAATTAATATGGTGACTTGACAGCTCTGCTATAAATCGTAACCTGTAAAAGTGAGCTTTTCCTGTGTTCACAAACATCAAGGAGCTCGGGGAGACACACAGCTGATTTATAAAGACAATAGGGCTTGGGAATGGAAAGACAAGGAGAAGCCTTGACCACAAATCAAAGGAAATTGGATGTTCCTGCTTTCATACATTGTCCTGGCCAGGAACACATGGCAGCACGGAGATGCAGTCTGGAGGACAACGGGTCACCCCAGCGAGCTGCCCTGACCTCCCCGGTCCCAGCAAAGGAACACCCGGGGAGTACGCTGCCTCTGGAGGGATGAGATCGGAGTGGCACTGCCACCCTGGGAAGAGCTCCCAGGGCTGCCTGTGGCCCCAGCTGACCCGGCTGGACTGGACACATGCCCTGGGTGTGATGACCTTCCCAGAAGGTGGGAGGGACAATGGGTGCTTCCTCCCACTCCCCGGCCGTGCCCCCGTGCCGGGACGCGCAGGAGCCGCGGGCATTTCACCGGGCACCTCGCGTCCGACGCCCGCTCCCCGCGTCGGGGGTTCCCAAGGGGCGAGCAGCACCGCTTTCGCCGTGCCGCTCTCCCCGCCCCGGGAAGGCGGGCTGACAGCGCGGGCAGCCCGCGGCACCGGCACAGGGGGGTTCTCGGCGGCACCCGGCGCAGGGGGGTTCTCGGCGCCGCCGCCCCGGGCCCCGCGCTCCGGGCGGGGGGCAGCGGCTCCCCCGGCGCGGCGCACGCACAGGCGGCGGGAGCGGCCCCGCGCAGCGCCAGCACCGCCCCGGGGGTCGCGCCGCCCGCCGAGCGGGGCTCCATCGGCGCTGCTGCGGCTGCCGCTGCCTTCGCCCGCGACCCGGGGGGGTTTGCGTGACACCGCCGGCACTCCCCGCCGCTGCTTTATGTAACCCGCCGCTCGGACCCGCTTATAAAACGCCGCCGAAGCAGCGTCGCTGCCAGAGCCGCCGCCACCCCGAGCGCCGCGAGGTAACGGGGTAGGCAGGGCAGGGCAGGGCCGGGGCGGGCCGGGCCGGGCGCGGCGGAGCCCTCGGAGCTCTCGGGCGAGCAGCGCCCGGCGGGGCCGGGGCCCGGGGCAGCTCTGCGGGCGGGCGAGGGCTCGGGGAGGGAAGCGGAGCGCGGTCGGCCGGGTCGGGTCGCGGCTCCGGCTCTGGCTTAGCAGCGGAGCTGTCCCGTGGGGCCAGGTGGGCGGTAGATGGGCACTGCCGCAGCCCGAGCCTACCTGTAGGCACTGCTAAGCTTCCCTCAACCATCCATGCGCACACCCACAGCAGTGGTTTGGCTTGTCAGCCAAAGCTAATCGGTAGCTTTGCAAAAACCTGCATAAAAGAGTGTACGGTGAGCTAAACCAAAGAACCGATCTAGGACAGATACAAGACAAATGTTCAGAAGTCTGACAAGGTCTTTCTACCTGGCGTTCCTCTCATCCGGACTTGTTTTTTTCTCCTGATCTGTTGTGCAACCTTTCAAGTATATAAGCCATCTTTTGCTGATGTAACCATCATATCCTATCTTGTTTCCCATAAACAAGACTTTCCCAGGGGTGACCAGCCTTAGAATTCAGCATTGTGTCCAAGCTAAACAACCCTTAATTTTCCTCACTACTTTTGTTTTACTTATACAGGAAACAACTATTGCAACTTGTTGAGCTTTCAGTAATGGCAGGAGGCAGAGACAAAAGGACAATCCCTATTTCTCTAAATATGGTTTTTGTAGATACAGTTTCTTAAAAGGATGACCATCTCTCTCCCTGCAAAGTCTTACTACTGCTGCAGTGCTGGTCCTACTGGTTATCACCCTCTCAGTCCTGGGAGGAAAGAAGTGCAGATGATGGGAAAGGGTGACTGATGGAATACATCTGTCTTCCCACAAAATTCAAGGAACTAGGACAATGGATGTCTTCGTGGACAGATCTCTCTCCTGGCTCTTAGCCTTGTGAGCACCTTGGCTTTCCCCAGCGTCACAGTAAATTTTTAGCTCTCTAACAAACAGTGCCATGCCAGCAGCTAGAAGTAAAGTAAATGATTAGACTAACTTGTGTAGTCTAACTGTTGCGTTCAATTTCTGGAAGGGGTATGTAGTAATTCATCTCTTTCTTGCTGTAGTTTTTTTGAAAGGGGAAAGGATTGTTTATATCTGCAAGGGTCCCTGGCTGAAAGGCATACCGTTATGCCCAGCTGCAGAACTTAGTGAGTGTAGGGTTTCCAAACTCCTAACATGTAACGTCAAGGCAAGAATTTTAAACTTTTTCTTTTTTCAAAATGAGTGAAGGGATCCAGACTTGGTCTCCATCAATTGCAGCAAGGGAATCAGCCCCTTCATAAAACAGCTCTGCTGCTGTGACTAGTAAGTGAATTAATATTAATAGTTATACCCACATTGGTATATTTCCTACTTTGTAGGACAGGGAGAACAGTTCCTTCCCTTTGCTGTTTACGTGTTCTTGCTTTCAGGTGCTCCTGTCCTGAGCTACTGAGGCAGCTTATCTGCTTGAACCAGATTGCTTTATAACTTTGTGATAATAAGCAGATAACATATTTAATTTTCCATATTGTACCAGTTTGTACCATGTTTTTTCTTACTTTGGCATATCCCAGATCTTTCCTCATGGAAGAGGTAATTCCTTCTGTACTTCAGCGTAAACGGTGCCGGCAGACAAATTCAAATTTCTCTTCCTATTTGTAGTTGTAAAGTATCTTGATACTGTGTGACTGAAACATGATAAGCAGCATGTATAATTGTTATTTTAATCACATTGGTATCTCTGAAACAAACTTGTGCCAGGAAACAGGATGCATGTGGCTGGCCTCATTTTTATAAGTACAACCATTTTTCTTCCTGTGGTTCTTCATTGAGACTCGTTAATAGGGTTCTCTGCTGGCTTTGTGGGGAGGTAAGCATGTTATGACTGAAGAAGAGGACCTTGAGTCTCTTTAGCTGAAGTGGTAGCAGCTTCCATTTGTAGTCCCTGCTGTGTTGCAAGAGAGAGTGACCATCACAGACGGGCTTTGTTTTTTCCTAATTAGATGCTCTTTCAGCAAGCATAACTTACTTCAAGAACATTTATCTCTTGTTCTTAAAGGTTAGTTCTAAATCTGTGGGTTTCCGTGCCTTTGGAGACTACTGGATGTCTTCCAGTGCGGATGTCCATCCTTTTGGAAACTTGGCACACGTAAGGATTGGTGTGGTGTGCATGAACTTGGTTTTCCAAGACACTTTCTGGAGAAATCTTTGCTCACGTCTCCCTCCTTGCTTGTTTCTGTGTTCTTTGTCTCAACAGATGGGAACTGCTCAAAACAACAGTGACCTCAAACATCTCCACACAGTGGAGCTTGACCTGTGTAACAAAGACATGATGGCAGACACATCTGATCACAGCATTATTTCTGTTGGAGAAGAGGAAGGAGCAGGCAATTTCCAACGTTCTCTTCCAACACAAGAGTCCCTCCGATCTCCTCGGGGCTCTGTCGTGAGTTTCCATAACATCCAGTATTCCATTAAGCAGTCCAGTGGATTCCTTTGTAAACGGAAAACTGTGGAAAAGAAGATCCTTCATAATGTTTAGTAAGTTCTTGCTTAAATGAGATGCTAGAGGGTAGGAATTAATCTGCTGCTGTGCATCAGTGACCTCATGTCATCTTCCAGATCCAGTTGGTACAGAAATGACTACCCTCCTGCCAGTCAGCAGCTCAAGTGAGCACTTCATGGTTTACTTTTAGGCAAAATAGGTGGGATATAGCTGGAGCAGTTTCAGTTATTGATTTGAGCAAATTAGGACCAAACTTGTGTGAACTCCTCTACCAGAAGATCTGAGGGTTCCCCTAACTGTGGATCAAGCCACAATCAGAGGAAACGAGCAGCAGAGAGCTCAAGAACTAGTTCAGCAGGGAAGACACTTAACATCTGTCTTTTGTAGATTGTTTTTTATGTCCAGCTTTGATTCTGTTCTGACTGGAGGTCAGGGAAAGAAAGGAAAAATGCACATTGATTTCAGATTTAAGGAGAAGTTTTTCATAATCTCTGAGTTTTCCTTTCAGCAGCATTTTGTACACACCTCTACTAAAAGCTGCATATGAACAGTCCTTCATTTGTAAATAACTCTTTCTTTCTTCCAGTGGCATTATGAAACCAGGATTGAATGCTATCCTGGGGCCAACAGGGAGTGGAAAATCTTCGTGAGTACCTTCTTCTGCTCCTTTAAGTGGATAGTCAGCTGTTCAAAGGGTATTTGGGATTCTGAGGGTTAGGAAAGATGTGAGGCTCAGACCTTTGCATGCCTGTGAGAAATCTGGTGATACAGTTTGACCTCCTGCCCCTCTATTAGCTTTGTTCTTGCCCTGCAGCAGTACCACAGCCCTCATCTTCTCCAATTACTGCAGTCACCTTTGGTGGTGGCCTGAATTTAGATACCAGATGGAACTGGGGTGACTGGAGCTCAGATGTAGGCACTGTCCTGACTGGTGATGGGGTGGGGATGGGGCACAAGCTCATGCGCATGATAGACGTCATCCCCTGTGAACTCACTGCAGCAAGACTTCCTTGGTGCTGCTACTCCAGACCCCTCTCTGACAACTGACAGGAACATGTTGTCATACAATACCGGAGTCTACAGGATGCTCTGGATCCTTACCTCATCTTTGCTGTGGCCTGCTGTTTGGGGTGCACATATGCATGAGGTTTTTGGACAAAAGCACAGAGAAATACCATGCAGACTATCTCCACCTAATGGTGTTAATTCTGTTTTCTCTCCTGTATAACCATGGTAAGAGAACTCTTTGTCATTCTCTGCCTTTGAAAATGTCAGACACTGGCAAATATGGCCAGGGTTCACACAGGGGTCTTTGTGATGACCCTTGATCTTCCTTTCTAAGGTGCTGGTTACTCAATATGCTTTCAAGAGCAGTGCTTCATCAGGGCAGTTTACTTAGCTAGCAGACAGGCTGGCCTCTGCATTGGCAGGAAGGAGAATCCAGTGATACGTTAAAAAATTACTTACTAGAATTAATCTTAACTCCTGTCTTGTTTACACCAATTTGGATTAATTTCCTTGAGATCAAAGGAGTTAGTTGTGTGCTCCCCTGGCTGGAGAGCAGCCTGCAGAGACTCGGCAGGGTGCTTTTGTCTCTGTGCATTTGAGGTTAGCTGTAAATACACAGGCTGAGTTTATGTCCGTAGGGGGTTCACTGTTGTGATTTGTGAGTGTCTGTATACTGCCATACTGCTGTGGCACACAGTGTGCTGGAAAATCCTGTATGTATCCCAGGCTTTCTGTACAAAGAGCTAAAGCTCCCAGAGTAGAGGAAGCCCCTTTCTGTGTCCTTTGGTTTGTGGCATGCTGTGAGCAGGCTGGAACTGCAGTCCTGCCTGGTGTGCTTATCCAGTCAAAGGTAAAAGCAGCTGTTACTGCAAAACCTAATGCCTGGTGTTTGTCTGAAGTCTCCTAGATGTGCTGGCTGCCAGAAAGGACCCAGCAGGCCTGTCTGGAGAAGTGCTTATAGATGGCATCCCACAACCTCCAAATTTCAAGTGCATCTCGGGATATGTTGTGCAGGTGAGTAACCACATTCAGTAAGGGCTGGGAGCCCTTGGGATGGAAGACCAGATAAAATGAGCAAAGCATGAACTATTAGGTTAGGTAGTTTTCAGTGGTCTCCACAGAGTCTCATTTGGTAACTCTGATGCTACATATTTATTATTTTTCTGGGATATGGAAGACAAGAAGATCAAACTGTTACTCCATCCTAGTCAGGCACAGAGATATTTGTCTTCCCAAAGCCAGATGGGCTACTGCCCAAATCACTGGGCTACTGTGGCTTGTTCTTTGGGCTCTGCCCTGAAGTACTAGCAAAGATTTAAATGAAAAGGTGAAGAAAAAAACCGTGACACCCAAAATCTCTTGTTGTTAAACTCAGAAGCAGTCCTAGCTGGCAGAAGTACCTTCAAACTATCAGACAATAATTCTAGGAAATAAGTAGATCCCTGCTGTTCTTCCTCTGATTCTGGCTGGCTGTGACAGAGCTTCATTCCACGCAGAGGCAGGAAAAGCCATCTGAATCTGCGGAAGTGGGTGGAGGCCTGAACCAATAATAGACCCTCAAAGCCCTGGGGGACCTGGGGAGAAGGGGATTCTTGGCAGCCATATGAGCATCCAAATCTGGAAACCATCCAGGGTTCTGACTGCAGGCAGATGTGAAATAGGCAGCTGAAAGCTGCCAGCTGGGGGGTTCTGGGAGAATACATGTGACAAGAATGATGTTGAATCTTGATCCTGCAGGTCAAAGATCCCCAAATCCTAGTGAATGGCCAGGAAGTTTCTTGCAAGCGATCCCAGTTTGAGACATTTGTCTCTCAAATGTCCAAAGCAACCAATCATAACCTTAAAATGATAGGCAATTTGATGAGACATTGAATGGTCTCTCCCCTCCCATCCTGTGCAGTACTTCTTAGATCAATAAAGATGGCCAAAAAACTACAAACAACACTTAAATCCTAAATACATACATCATTTTAGGATCAGTTTTATGCAGATAAGCATGTAGACATGCTAAGTCATGTGTTATCTCTATAAAACTGCTGGTGGTCTCTCCATTCATGCCTCGAGAGTGAAGGTGTCATGCCATGGTTTGTTGTGTTTGGTATTCAGGTAGCTTAAATTCACAGTTAGTTTCCAGTGTGATGACCCAACAGTTGTGTTGGTGGATCTGAGGGTGGGGAATGGGAGGCTAGGGTCAAAGACTGGGGGGTTGTGGGTTGATAGGAAATGTCTAAACCAGCTTTGGCAGCAAAACAGCATATTCTGTCTTCCTCTGTTAACTCCAGTGCAAAACATGGTTGGCTGACATATCATTTGTGCTACTTATCAACTATATCTGATGTGAGAAGAGTCCCAAAGCAGGCGAGAATCTGCTGCCCTGCAGCTTTGGGGGCGTGTGTTCCAAAGGGCGCTAGATTTGAAAGGTACCTGATTTAACAGGCATGTTTCTCAGCAGCTGCCCAACCCTTCTCTCATGGTAGGATGCAGAATTGGCACAAATATCAAAGTAGGGATGAGGGAGAGGCATGGAGCTCTGGATGGACCTGACGACAACTCTGTTTGGCTCATGGTTGTTGCTGGTTGGTGTAAGCTGCCCAAATGTCTGTCAACCGGATAGATTTGATTCTCACTCAAAGTGTGTATGACTGTTGAAGCTTTTGTAAAGGGGTAGCCCTTAGAATACAGTCGTGTGTCCAAGAGTTGTAGATTATTTGAGACATGAAGAAATTTAGGAGTATCTTGGTGCAATATTCTTGTTTCTCTGAGAAGCTGCTGCCAGCAAGCACCTGAGGAAAGCTCCTCGTTGGCAGCTGAACTTGGCAGGTGCTTTGGACCACAAAATACAGCTTGTAATTTGCAGCAGAGCTGACCTGGGTGGCTCCCTGAATGTCTCTACCTTGAGCACTGAGCACTAGCGATGTCTTTTGGCTTCAGCTGGACTGACAGAAATGTAACTCTTTACAAAATCAGCTACCTACTCTGCCTCGCTTTGGCTAGTAAGAAAAATGCATGTGCTATACAGAGTGGTACTGTCTGCACTTGAATTCCTGAGCCTGAAAGCAGGCTTAGGTGGTGCTTGGTGGAAGCTGCGAGGCCTCCAGAGCTGCGTTCTCCCCTTAACTGCTACTGAGTGACCTTGAATTTCATATCATGTAAATTTGGAAGCATTGTCTCTCAGTCCAGTTTCCACTGTGGTCCTCAAACAGTGACTGCCACCATAGGGACTCTGGTGCCCACTCAGGTAACTGAGGAGTCTTTCCAATTGTCTCTTTTTACTGCTTTCAGGATGATGTTGTCATGGGCACAATGACGGTGAGGGAGAACCTGCAGTTCTCTGCTGCCCTGCGACTCCCCAGCTCTATCAGCATTAAAGAGAAGGAAGAGCGAGTCACCCAGATAATCAGTGAGCTGGGATTAAACAAAGTGGCTGATGTTAAGGTGAGCAGTGAGAGTACCTTTCTCAGAAATCATACTACCTCTGGAAACTGAACTGCTTGTCTGTGGGCAGTATGGTGTATGTAGTGCAGCCACGTGAAGCTAAACAGGAACCTGAGTAAACCATACTGAAGGAAAGAAATTAGTCTCCAGCTCAGGAGGGAGCTTGGAAAGAAGTCAGTGTATTTGCTACTAAAATGAGAAGATTTTGGACCATGTCCAGCATGTTGTATAAAGTCGGAGGGGAAAAAGTCGCTTAGTCATTGTACCTTGGAAAGCTGCTCAGTCACTTCCTGGCTTTGTGGGACAAGATAGGGAAATTGTTTTTACAATGCTGAAAGCTGTGAGGGATGGAAAACTGATCTGTGATGAAGAGTATCTGTGCAGAGCTTGTTCCTCCCAGCAGCATTTTTACTCTTACTTTATTATTACTTGACTTATCCCACTCATACTTTAGTAGCAGGCAAGTTACCAACAAACACCAATGCCTCCTCTGACTGCTGTGGTTTCATTCTGTCTCTTCCTTATCAGTGTCATCCTTGTCCCTTGAAGTCATAAGGCACCTGGTACCTTTGAAAATCAGGCTCAGCTTACTGCTGCACAGTCCCTCAAACTGAGTCAAACCCATCATCTGCTCCTGGCCCTAGAATTCATTACTGGAACTCTGAAAATGGCTGCTGGATGCAGAGAGCCCTCAACTCCAGGGCATGCACTGACTAGGTCTTGTTGAAAGTATCTGATTTCTTCTGCTTGTAGGTGGGAACTGAATTGATCCGGGGAGTGTCTGGAGGGGAACGGAAGAGAACCAACATTGGGATGGAACTCATCACAGAGCCACCAGTCCTTTTTCTGGATGAACCAACAACTGGCCTTGATGCCAGCACAGCAAATGCAGTCCTCATCCTTTTGAAGAAGTAAGAGTCAGTTCTTCAGGGCCCTGTTGCAATTTTGTTGTCAAGTCATTACTAAAAAAATGAATGTTCTTACGAGTATCTGTAGCGCTCTTTAAAAAAAAAGAAAAGCTAGACAAATAGATGCAGAAGTGGTACTAAATTATTTGGGTTGTGTCCAAAGGCTTTTTAAGTTTATGGGAATCTTTGCACAGCAAACACTGGACTGGAGCCCAAAAAGCAGATGTAGCTTGGACAGCTTCCATTTGTCACAAAAAGGGGTGGACTAGGAGGTCAGGCCTTGTAATCATAATTTTTTGGCCTTCCATCTGAGTCTATTAAAAAAGGCTTTTCCCTCCTCTGGCAACAGCTTTGAACTCAGGTAAGACTTCACCTGCAGATTTACTTTCAGTGTTTACATTCATCTCCTATGTTTTGGAGATGAACTGTCATTTGACAATTAGAACAAAGTTATGTTCAAGGAGGACCAAAAAGGCTTATTTAATGACAATGACTTCCTAGTCCTCCTCCTGGGTTTGTAACGTGTTGTCTGGTTTTGCTTGCTGGGGACATCTTGTTCTGCTGTTTGTCTTTGATTGTCAAGGGTACTTATCAGGCATCAGTGCTAAAGCATTTGAAAGAGTGTCTGACAAACCTCAAGGAAAACGTGTTTTGAATTTTCTTGAGAGTTAATCTTCAACAGAAAAGCTAAGAGAAATCTCAGCTGGCCAGATTTCCACAGCCTGCTATGTAAAGCCTGGTACTGCCATTGAGTGCAGGACTGTTCCAGTTAGTCAAGTTGGTGTCTGGTACAGAAAACATGTCAGGAGGGTTACACAGCTATGGCCTCAGGCTTTGCTAGCTACAGACAACCTCATACTTTGTCTACCTGGACTGCAGTGATGGTCTCTTGTAACGATGCGTGCTGTCTTGAAGGTCTCACAGGCAGCATCTGACACAGTGACAGAGAAGGGGAACTACAGTTTTTCTGAGTCAAGACCCTAAGAAGTTGACAAGTATTTTTCTTCGATTTGGATACTTGTTTTTTGCTTGGATTAACATGGCCTTTCTGAAACTCAAAGTGTGGTGTATTTGAGAGATGTTTTATTTCTATTTCAGGCTCTCAAGAAGAGGTAGAACCATCATATTTTCTATCCATCAGCCCCGCTATTCCATATTCAAGCTGTTTGACAGTCTGACACTGCTGGCTTCAGGAAAGGTGCTGTACCATGGTCCTGCAAAGCAGGCCCTGGAGTACTTTAGTTCTATTGGTAAGTCTTCCATGCCAAGAGCAAAGGCAAGTGGCTAATGAGTTAAATCTGTGAGTAGATTTTCACCCTAGCATGGGACAACAGTCCTGTGCTGTTTTATCAGTAGGATGCCAGAGACTGTACATATACAGTGTGAGGAGTGTTATGTTAGAACAGGAGAAAAATGGAATGGCAAAACCGAAAATGCCTTTGTTTTGTCTGGCATCAGGACAAAAACCAAGAATCACTTGGGCATGTAGAAGCGTGATGTCCAGCAAACAAGATGATGCTGCTAGCAGGCCCTGGTGGCAGATCTGGTGGGTTTTGAACCACAGCCTGCAGTTTGGCAGTAGTCTGTACAGATTGATCCAAAACTATGTTCTAGACTGAATGCAGGTGGGTGACCAAGAGGTCAAAATTATGCTATCCTAAGATGGGTTAGTAGTTGCACTGTTGAGTGGCTGCTCTCTCTCCAAGTAAGCAGAGTGAGGTTTTATGACTATAATGAACAAAGAATGTGAACTTCCAGTCCAGTGTGGACACATTAATGTGTGGACACTTTAAATTTTAATCTTTCCCTGGCTTTAAGGGAGATGCTTTAACCAATGTCACTGCTTCTACTCCTCCTCTTAGTAGCCCACTTCCCTTCTCTCAGGCAAATTATAGAAAAAGCATCTTTGTTGTTGGTTTTTTTTTTCTTTCCTCCTTGTCCCAAAGCTAGAACCATATTATAAGAAGCTGCTCTGGGACAGCCCTTCCTCTTCCTTGTGACCAAAGAAACACCAGCAAGAGTTGAGACTCCAAAAGAAGTACCTCAGGCCGTAGAACAGACACCTAGGAACCTCTGCTGAGGAACTCTGTGTCTTACAGACTGGGATGTGGTTGAACAGCACTGGGAAGGAGGCAAGAGTTGTCCATACTGAGCTGTGTAGGAGCAAGTTACAGATTTTTCCTCACCTGAAAGTAGTGGAGAATAAGGAACTTTGAAGCTCTCTTTAGATAACTCAGATTCACCATCTCCTAAATCCTGTCCATTCTACTGACATAAACTAGTACTTACGAAAAGCAGTGAATTTTTATTGTAATGGGGTTATGGAAAAGTGATACAGTATTAGACCTGACCTTCTAAACTGTGCTCTGTGCAATACAAAACATATGTGGTTTTGGTTTCGTTTTTTGGTTTTTTTAAGGATATGAATGTGAACCCTTCAACAATCCAGCTGACTTCTTCCTTGACGTAATAAATGGCGATTCCACTGCTGTGGCAGCAAGCAAGGAAGATCGCAAACCTGTGGACACAGGAAAAGGTAAATTGTGAAGGAGAAACCCACTGTTGGCTGGTGTAGAAGGGAAGTTGTATGTGGGGATGGCAAGCTTTTGTTCTGTAGGTTTCCTCCAGTCTAAAGGCACTTCATTATCTTTTTATTTTTCCTACTAATAGGTATACTTTGCTTTGGGCTTCTTTAAAGATCTCAGAAGCTTTTAAAAGGAAATTTTTTTTTCCCTTCAGTAATATAGGACAGCAGTGATAAATATCAGAAATTTAAAAAACTTGTGTGGGAAAGACTGGAAAAACTAGAACTGCTTAGTCTCAAGATAGATGTGACAGGTGACAGAAGGCTGCTGCAGAGAAGACAGGGTAGATATGCTAAGGAGTGATGTATTTTCAGGAGAGTGAAAAAGACTGCAACTAGATTAGAGAACAAACTCTGTAATAATATAGTGAACAGAATGTTTGGAAATATTTGTTTGGGGATGCTGTAGCATATCTATGACTGAAGGTTTATAACGGAACAGTTTTTTTAATGGTGCTTTTTGGGGATGGGAAATTGAATTAGAGCAAACGTTGCTCTAATGTCCCACAAATTCAGTGAAACAAAGGTTTTCTGGTGCCTCGTTCTAAAAATACGACTCTTTTTATGCCTCAAAGTATGGACAGATTGGCTAGGTTCAGTTAAAACTAGGAAAACCCTCTCACTCAAGCTAGCCTCTTAAACTCAGAGCTAAGGCTTGAACAATTAAAATTCTCTGGGCATTTCTGCTCTTTTTATTCAGCCTCCAGAATTTCTGAGCATGTTAATGGGCCATGTGTGAAAGTCAGGTTCATGGGAAATCACAAGCCTCAGGAAAAAAATCTTGGTTTTCTCACTCAGAGTTGAGCAGTGAAAATGGAGTGGCAGAAGATAACGTGGACAGCAGTGTGGTAGATGCGCTGCACCAGAAATATCTCAGCTCCAGCCTATATCAGAGCACAAAGGAAGCACTGAGGAAAGTGGAGCTTGGACAGGGAAGCAAGCAGAGAGTATCCAAGCAGGAGCATGAGATTACCTATGCAAATGGATTCCTCACCCAGCTGTACTGGGTGTCCAAACGTTCCCTGAAAAATCTCATCAGGAACCCACAGGCATCTGTTGCACAAGTAGGTAACAACAGCTAAAAGCCTCAGATTCTTTCTGCTGTCAGTCCCACAATCTGCAGTTTGTAGGACAGAATTTGTTTTCAAAGGCACATAAGAAAACAGGAGAGTCCTGTGCTACTGTCACATAAATGGAGTGAGATGCTCAGCTACCTTTGTAGCCTTTGGAAAAAATCTCTGTTTTAATTTAGCACAAGGACTACTTCACTGAAGATTGGAGAGAGGGGGGAAGTACTCCATTCTCTGGTTTATATGGGGAGCTTCTAGGGTGATGTTAATTTTGTGCCTCACTTTAAGTTTTAACCTGGGTTATTCTATGAATGTGCTTCTACTAACCTCTCCCAGCCAAAGAAGATCAGAGGAAGTAGAAAATTGAAGAGGATAAAATCTGAGAAATTGTCACGGAGATTTTGATTGTGTGTCATAGGTATACATTGCCTCAAAACAGCAAGGCTTTAGGCAGGTGTGAATCTTAAACCCTGCATATGACTTAGTAATGTTATTTCCTATTTACTTATCTGAAGGGCTCCCTTTTCCCTTTCTTCCCTCCACTTATAGATTGCAGTGACTGTAATCCTAGCCTTGGTTGTGGGTGCTATCTTTTTTGGTGTAAAATTGGACCGAAGTGGTATTCAGAATCGGTAAGTTGAAAAGCCACAGCTTTGCTCATTTTTCTATCTGTAGCAGACAGCTTTGACACACAGGAAAGACCTTGGGATCCACTTGGAACACAAAGGAGGGTTGGGTTCACAAACCTCTGTGCACTGCAGCATGGAATTGCCAGAGGTCCTAAAGGGACCACAGTTCTGTTAGGCTTGCACATATGTACAGAGGGGATGTGAAGGACAAGATAAAGGATACATCTAAGATCTACAAGAGCACAATTAAACATCTCCATTTTGTGGACAGAGACAGAAAAGCACTGACTCGGTGGTATGATGATGTCTAAGGCTGACAGTGTTTGATCTAGGCTGTTGTCTCACTTTTCAGCTGTTCTGTTTTGCCTTCTAGGGTTGGATCCTTGTTTTTCGTCACCACAAACCAGTGTTTTTCCAGTGTCTCTGCAATTGAGCTGTTCATCAGAGACAAGAAGCTATTTGTGTAAGTAGTAAGGCACTTGGACTCTCTCATACCCTTGAATGAGGTGGAGGGAGTATCTTACACCCTAAACAAAATTATTTGCACCAAAGACTTGACTGCTCGCTTGCAACATCAGATTATTGTAATAGTAATGCTAAATTAGTCTGTAGAGTAGGGAGCTGAAATGCTAAGAGCTGGGGGAAGGAGGAAATGCTTTTACTTGCTTGCTGTGTAACAGTTTTCTGCGAAGTGCTTTTCCTACCCACTTTTTGGTAACAGTTGGTTTTGAAATCTGCGTGTGAATTCTGCAGACTGTGAACCCCGCCTGCCTGCTTGCTCAAAGGGCTGAAATGCTGGCTTGCAATGGTCCTAAAGTGGCAATACTGTGCAAATATGATGGGAGGTTCTTGGAAAAGCTTTGCAACTCATGCTCAGATAAAGGGAGCTGCTGGCTGGCTTACAAGGCTTCCCTAGTAATCAAGTGCATGTCTCTATTTAGAGAGATGTGCTTGGTTATGACATTGTTATTGTGTTTATTATACATAATTATTTTATAAATAATTATTTTATTCATAACTATTTATAGTTATATTTAATTATCACTTTAATTATTTATAATATTATGTATCATTATATATATGTTTATGTGTTTGTATGTGTGTATATGTATGCAGGTGTGAGTATATATAATATACACACAGATATATATACATATATATTGAAAATGTAGTTCAGAGAAGCCTCCAACTCATGCAATGGAAGGGTAAGAGACAGATCCTGTGCAGCAAAGAGGAGATTGGAGATTTATGCCTGGAATGCACGTGTCCACCTACAGGTTGCTCAGAGCAGCTTAATATTGCCCCTAACAGCTGCTCAGTAGTGAAACTGCCCCATGCTGCCATTTCTTCCCAGTCTGCCCTGCTTACCAGTGCAGCTTACCAGTTGTGTCAATGGGGATTTAGGTACCTCACCAGTTAAAGCATCCTTTCACAAGCTCAGTTAAGCAGCAAAACAGTCATAATGACATATAACTGCCCAGTGAACGGGGGGGCGAGTTGATGTCCTAAAGGTGTTTTCCTATTGTTGGGTACCATCCCTTCTTCTCTGGAAGCATCTGTATGAGTTAGCAGTGGATGAAGTGTTCCTCCAGTTTAATAGCTGTCTAATACGTCCTCATGCTCTTGTGTTAAGGATCATTCTCTTTGAAAACAGATTTAGGAGCTTTTTTCCAGTATTACTTAGCAATCACACAGCCTTTCCTTCCCATTCCTTGGAGGGTTGTCAGTTTGACTGCAGGGTGTGTGAGACAGATCAGACCTTGCTTTACAGAGTGGGAAGTGACAGCACAGAGGAACTTTCGCATAGACAAGGAGACAGTGGTAGAAAGAGCAGAAACTGAATCAGGATGAACTAAACACACATGGTGAGCCTGCTTCCTAGATGACCTCTAAACCTGTACAACTCCCCTCCTTCCTGTCCTCGCAGCCATCAGTACACCAGTGGATATTACCGTGTGTCTGCCTACTTCCTGGCCTTGATGATAGGAGATCTGCTGCCCATGAGAACTGCTCCAGCCATCATATTCTCATGCATCAGTTACTGGATGATTGGTAAAAAATTGATGCTTTCTTGAACCTGTCATCTTCCAACATATCTGGTTTCTGACTTAACCAGAGCTTGATTCCCATATCTATAACATGAAACTACTCGAACCTTCAGCTTATTTTAGTGCTTGGCATCATAACTTTGGAGAACTCTAGGGCAGGGGCAGAGACACCAGCACTCTAAGACGGGGACCTGCCTGACATCTTTTGGTAATGCTCTTTGGGTCTTTAGAGCACGCACAGTTCCTGCCAACTTCAAACTTGGCCTTCCTGCTTTGCCTGTCTTGTATAGGAGTCCAAGGCACCTCTCTGGGAATCATAATGTGGTTGTTTACTGGACTTTGACCTTTCTGTTTTTTGACAGGATACCAAGCTGTTGCAGGACGGTTCTTCTTCTTCATGCTGACCCTGGTACTGGTGTCCTACACTGCCACAGCCATGTCTCTGGCTATCAGTGCTGGGATGGATGTGGTGGCTGTGGCCAATCTGCTCATCACGATTTGTTTTGTCCTGATGCTTGTGAGTATATAAGGGTGTATGTGCTCCTTTGGTGGAGAGGAGGAAAGAGCTGAGGCCAACTGAGTGGACTGCATTGAGCCAGCCGTAGGCAGGCTAAAAATCCCTAGTCCTGTGGCATGTCAGCTGCATGCCTGTGATTTTATTGTCACTATAGTCAGAGATATTCTCCTGCCAGCTTGTAATCTGAGGCTCAGATCATTGCTCAGGTGCAGTTCAGTAGGTGTGATGCCACCAGGGCTTTCCAAAAAATGTGCCCCCTAAAAAGTGGTGGTTTTTTTCTTAAATTGTCCCTAAAAAACCCAATTTAAAAAAAAATCCTGCCTTTCCACTCTTAAAAATCTAAGTGATCAACTAGAACATTTAAAGGGAAAAAAATCTTGAAATAAACTAGATCTGTTAATTTTTTTTTGCATTAATTTTTATTGCCCAGTGGGATTAGCAGGAGCAAACACTCTCTTTAATTCAGTATTGCCCTCGGGTTCAAGAAATTACTTCAATACTCTTCCTCAAGCATTTTTAAGGAAGAGAGCAAGAAAGAGAGAAAGGAGTTTTGCCTACTCACAGATGAGAGCTGTGAATTCTTTTTCAAAGAGGTAATGGTGGTGGTGACGCTACCAAGTTAGATAGTCCTTGTCAAGTGGTTCCTGGTAACTGTCTGTGTATGTACTGTGAGCCACAGTGCATCCCTCCGTTATTCTTTGATTTGCAATTTAATGCTTTTGCAGTAAGCCAAGTAATAGTGTACTGCTTCGAATGCTTGCTGTGGGTGAGAGATGTGCATGTGTAGTGAAGGGCAGCTGATGTACATTCAGTTAAGTCACAGTATATTAGGAGTGGCACATGCATGCCCTGAAAAACAGTGGGGTAAGCACAAGATCACTTGTGATGAAGTAGAGGCTAAAGTGTCATGCTTAGCTATGAAGTCTAGTTGTGCTAAGAAGTAAAAGCAAATCTTGTTCCAGGCAGGAGAGAGCATGGATAAAAGATGTCGGCCAGAGGAGAAAACTGAAACAGTAGCAGCCTTTAAGGCTCCCCATTTTTTGCTTCTTGTTTCTCCATTTTCTCATCTTCCAGTCATCCTTCTTTAGCCTGTGGGTAGCTCTACCATAGCACACAGTTCTCCTGAGTAAGAAATTGTGAGTATGTGTGCTTCTTAGCTCACATGTGGATGAGGAAAACCTTTCTGACCTCTTTGCAAGCAGTTCAGCTGAAGTACTTGGCTGTGCTGTTGGCCCGTCTGTCTGGAAGTGCTGCAAGGCTCCAACCTCGTGCCTGTAGGCACAGGCATGACAGCAGTAGCAGGTCCATCAACCCCAGTGCACCTCTGCTGAGCAACTGCAGCATCTGCAGGAGTGGCATTATTTGCAGTAAATAGTTTGTGACTCATCAGCCTCTTCTGTTGTATTTCAGATCTTTTCAGGCCTCTTAGTGAACCTCCCTTCAATAATGGGCTGGCTGAACTGGCTCAAGTACTTCAGTATCCCCCGATATGGCCTCACTGTGAGTAGAAAGTAGCATCAGTCTCCTGTGAGTAATGTAGACACACTGTTGCTTTCTGGAGAGGTTTTGAGTATAAATGAAGTTCTCTTAAAAGTCAGATTTGTTTTGTTTCCTTGCACCAACATGATAAAAAAAGAACAAACCGGCCAACCCTAAAAAGGAAGCAAAAGTTAATCTCTGTGCGAGAAATGGAAGTCTCAGCAACTGAATAAACACTTTGTGTTACAGAGCTAATGCTGCTTGGACAGCAGCAGGGTGAGCTGTCCAGTGAGGCACTAATTCCTAGCCTGAATTGTTGATCCCTATGTTTTAGAATTAAGTCAAATATTGTACAACCTCTCCAGAGACTGCTGTTTGGGTGGCCAGTCGGAGTTCAATGACTGTTCAGCTGGTTAAAGGATTTACATAATGTCTGAGTGTCTCAGTCTTCAGTGTGGCTTCCTCTGAAGTAAAATTTGACTTGCTGCCATTTCTGAATAATAAGGAGCTGCGGTACCAGAAATCTAAGGGTGCAGCTGCTTGAAACAGAGTAATTTGACATAGCAGGTCACCCACTGGTCACAGGTGGGACTGTTTGGGAGTAATAGTGTCCTGCTTTGAGTAAAAATGAATGAAATGAATGCTTGAACTGGTACAGGGTGGGAGATGTGTGAGACCTCCCTGTTTGGGTATACTGAGGTATTTTATTGGTGTTACTGAATGTGGAAGTGTCCCCTGAGGTTGCAATGGGTACAGGATGCCACTGCAAGGGAACGGTTCACTACTTGCCTTGGCTGACTGTGCCATGTCTTCAGTGTGCTGGTGCTGGGGTATCTTCATGCAGCCACATGGTTCTCTGGATCAGTCAGTTGACCCAGGTGAAAGTGGATGAACAGGAACTTGTAGCTGGCAAGACAGAAGCCCATGCCCAAGTAACTTTGAAGCCGAAAACTCAGATACCCAACCATCCTGCATGTGGAACTTGACAGTTCCTCAGAAAGGCAGTGATTAAGAGCTTGAAAATAAAAAGGAACATAGACATATGATTCCAAGAGTTACTTTGAGGTGTTTCAGTTTTAATACCCCAAATCACTAACTTTGCAAAAATCACTAACTTTGCAAAATATCTGCCTCTTTTCCTAGGCTCTTCAGGTGAATGAGTATAGGGATCTCTACTTCTGTGGTGAGAAGAATCCAAATGCTACAGTGTTTGTGGAAGATGCAGGCAGTTGTCCCCCCAATATTTCAGAAGAAATGTAAGTAACTCGTGCTGGTTCTGGGCCTGAATTGTGATAGCTTGCTTTAAGAGAAGCCTGATTGTTTCAAATTGTTGTACTATGCACAGAATAACCACTCACAAGCCAGTCTCAATAATATGTCCCAAAATAGCATGTTTTAGGATTATACTGTAAAACTCCACAATTACCTAAGAGTGAAGTAGAGATGAAACTTTATTCATGAAAATAGGCAGATGAGCTAAATTAAGTTTTGTATTTGATAACCTAGCCCTGTCTTACCAGTTTTCTTAAGCAAACTGAGGGTCACTTAACAATGGAAATGCAAGGTATGGACAGCTACAAAGTTGTTGGAAAGCACTAGACCTGTGATCAGAAACATCCCTCCCTCACAGAGCTTGTTTGTAAATATTAACCTCCTTGCGGATACAGGACGAGGCTGAGGTATCTATCTCTCTGTGCTTGGTTTTGCCCCATTTGAAATACTCTCGAGTACTGATACTTTAAGTTGTGGCAATGCAAGTATTTCATGACATGCTGGAGGGCCGGCAAACTGAGGGTTCTGCAGGGAACAGTGCTAAAGCACTGTTTCCACAGCTTTTGGACCCCCAACCCCTGCTATGGACTTCAGCCTGCTTCTGTACTTACCACAGTTCAAGATGGTTCTGAGGTTTCCTTATAAATTGCCAGCTATCTATAAACAACAGTTAGGTTACTACTGAAAAATTATGAGAACCAGAGATCTAGATTTGTCCCTTAAGCTTTTTCTGGTGATGGGTTATGGGTTATTTCTGTCACTTGTTTTGCCAAGTTGAGGGTAGAAGGATCTTTGTGGAACAGGAATAAAAGTAATTACTTGAAGACTTGTACCACGGTAATACTAAGTTGTGCCCGTTGCTTTTCTTCAGGTGTTCTGGTGAAGCATACCTGTGCAGCCAAGGAATTGCACCGACCAGCTGGGCAATGTGGGAAAACATAGTGGCTCTTTTCTGCATGACTGTTATCTTCCTCATCATTGCCTATGCAAAACTCCGGTTTATGAGAAAGTTCACATAGAATCCTGTGTCACTTTGGTCTGCAGTTTCTCAGGTCTTAAACCGCAAAGCCTGTTAGAGCCCACTGGAGATTGCCAGAATATTTCAGCTAACTGTATTGGACTTCAGATGGGAACCCTGTCCTCCTGTTTTTGGAGTATGATCTCCTTAGGATTGTATGATTGTGGTTTTTAAGAAGACATGCATTAATGTACACTGCGTAAGTGTTTTTTTTCTAAGACAATATAACTCTCCTAATTCCTTAGGTATATATCAAATTATATAATGTAAAGCATTATTATTCTGTGGCCAGCTTATACAGGAAATATTCCTTTGAACATGTGAGCTTCTCCATCACCAAAGGTATAAAGTGATGGTGGCATTTATGCATTGCTACTGCCTGTCATGTCTGAGGAGAGCTAGAGACCATTCCCAGTGTTGTGGAGATGCATTTGAATTTGAAGTGAGTATGGGGTATGAGGTGTCCTTGCCCAGCAAGAATATTTATACTTTTGGTAGCTTCTGTGGAAGCTACTTGCAGAAATAATTTTTGCTTCATTAAAAACAGCAGTGGTGTAACACATCTAAGAAAAGTAAGAAATATATACTGTTGTACTGTAAAAAAAACCCAGCAAACAACTTGCCCCCCTATGACCAACAGCAAAAAATATACTTACTACTTAAAAGGAAATTACCTTTTTTTTTTTTTTTTTTAATAAAAATTTGTATTCTTAGCACTGGCCGAGTTTTTTAACAACAGACTTAATGCTTAGCTGCTCAATCTATATATATAGTGCCACTTACACTGTGGAACTGAGGAAAAACACAGGCATTGCTGTGGCGAACTACAGTGACATAAACCACAGTCCCCACAGGACTGTAGTGTGCCAGCGGCTTCACCACCATCACCAACAGCAGAGATGCTATTAAGTTGCATTAAGACCCACGGATGCAAGTGGACCAGCAAACGCCAAAGGAAGATATCCTCAAACACAGGACTAGAGAGTTCGCCTGTGAGGGCCGGGCCTGTGGTGCGAAAGTGCGGCCGTGGTGTTCAAGGGACAGTGATCGCTCTGGCGGCGCAGCCTCGTCGAGCACGCAGCCACGCCCTCTCTGGTGACAAGTAAACTCGTGCCTCTTTTTACACGGTGTTTGTCTCTCTCCTGCTGCCGGAGCGAGGGCTGCGTGTTCTTGCCCGTTCCCGCCGCTGTCACCCCCTCTCAGCCGCCGCCGCCGGCAGCTCAGGGAGAGGCGGGGCCGGGGCTCGTCCCCGCCCGGCGAGAGGCGGTGCCGGGCCTGGCGCGGCCGGAGGAGGCGGGCGCGGCGCTGCGGGAGGGGCTCGGAGCCCATGGCGGCCGCGGCGGAGGGGCCGCCCGAGGCCGGCGCGCAGCCCGCCAAGCGTAAGGACCGGGGGGCCGGGGCCGGGCGCGCCTGGGGCCGCGGTGCGGGGCAGGGTCCGGGCAGGCCGAGGCGCTGGGAGGGGCCCGGGGCCTTGAGTGTGCCGACCGGGCCGGGCCGGCTGGTGCTGCTGGTGCTGCTGCTGCCCCGGCGCGTCCTCCCCGCTTGACTCCCCTGCTCCGGCCGCGGGCCTCGGGCAGCCTTCGTGTGCAGCCGGCAAACGCTGGCGAGGAGGGAAAGGTCGGCCTGTGGGGCTGGGGGAGAGGTGCCGGAAGGCTCCGGGGAAGGGCAGAACGAGGCTGTGGTAGAAACGGGTTTGGAGAAGAGCGGGGATTGCCGCTTTCCACAGGCGGGGATCTGCTGTAACCCCCGTCAGGCGCTCTGGGGCGACTGTGCTTCTGTTCCGGGTCGCTGACTGGAAATAAACATCAGCACCATGCGCAAAGTCACTCAGAAGTTCTTCCCAAATTCCTTACCTCCCGTCTAAGCAAAGGAGGGGGTCGATACTTGCCAGTGCGGTCAGGCCGGGTGCCTGTCTCTTGAATGCTTCCTAGAGTATTGTTTTGAAATAATTTTGGTATGGTATCAGCTGCTTCAAGGAATCTGCCAGGGTTTGTTACCCTTTAGCTTAAAGTAGACAACTTATATGGGAGGTAGATGTAGGCAGTTTAAAGGAAAAAAAGCGTGGGGCATCATTCCGGTGTGTTCCTCCACCTGCTACAGCTTTGCCTTAACCCTGTAATGTCTGTACCCCGAGTAGAGGATCCTGCTGTTGAAACCGCGGAGGAAGCAAAGGAACCAGCGGAGGCAGACATCAATGAACTCTGTAAAGACATGTTCAGCAAAATGGCCACTTACTTAACGGGAGAACTGACAGGTAAGGCACTGCAATATTGACCTACAAGTAAGTTCTTGTTTCTTTTCACTTTCTTTCAAGGAAATCTGTTGCGTAGTTTGTCTAAACTAATTTAAATCACATCTGGTAAGACTGTCAGTTCAAGTCTGGCATGTTGCTAGGCTACTAACAACACTGAGATTAGTCTTATTAATTTAATAAAGTCCAAGAATAGCACAAATACTTTTCAAAATAATTCACTATGGTATCAGCAACTTAAAAAATAATTCTTTTTCGTCTCGCATAAGTTTGTATATGGAAAAGTGAACAAACGAAAACAGTCTAGGTTAAGAAAGACTAGAAAGGAGCAAGGATCATGCACACGTTTTTCCAGTATGTTGATGCTTTAGAATAAACTACTGTGCAAAATTAACCTGAGCAAAGTAAACTGCTCATCAGCTTAGTGCATTCCATAGGCTCTAATTCTGAAAGCACTTCACAGCACCACTAATTTGCACAGACTTGAAGGACATGTGGTACAGATGACCAGTCTGAATTTGTGCTATCATTTTTGTAAACATAACTGTCTAACTTAACAGAGTAAGAGTAGAAATGTGAGGAATTAGTAAATTTTTCTCTCAAAAAAGAAAAAAAATACAGGTGAATTCATCAGCTTAGTTGATTTTTGCAGTCCACAAAAGGTCATCTCTCATTTTGTAACGTGTTATACTAATACTTGGATTGCCATCCAGACTATTCTCTACATTTTTCTCTTGGTTTGAAATCTCTTGTCCTCTTGAAAAGTCTGCACGTGATTCAAACCACATCAGCCTTTAATAAAATAAACTTTATTCTTTTTTAAGCCACCAGTGAAGACTACAAACTCTTGGAAAACATGAATAAGCTGACTAGCTTGAAGTACCTAGAAATGAAAGATATTGCTATAAACATCAGTAGAAATCTTAAGGATTTGAATCAAAAATGTAAGTACACCAAATATGGTAGGGGTATAATGAATGGTGCACTTGTTTGGGAAGTGAAGCATCTTAAGAGTCAGAAGGTTCACATTCCATTATGTGCTGAAGGAAAGAAAACTCACTGAAATAGATGTGCTACTGTAAAATGCTAATCTTGTATATTTCTTTACATCTATAGACCATGTAGACTAGCATAAGAGAAAATACATCTGAATTTATGTCCTTGTTTACCCCAGATTTTAGATCTGATAGGAATAGCACTTATTTTGATTCATGTTCTGTTGTTACTTGTGTTAAAGTCTAGTCAGTACTCTTAAACAATTTATGCTTTCCTGGAATATGGCTGCCAGTGTCAACCACTTAATTTTGGGGCAGGGGAAGTAAGGAGCTATGAAATTGTTCTATCTGAAGAATGTAATGAGAAGTTCTTGTGTTTCAAGTGTGAACTGTTTTTTGGAAGTGCATTACTGAGAACTGACAGATACAATTTTCCTCGTTTTTTAAGATGCTGATCTTCAGCCGTATCTGGAACAAATAAACCTAATTGAGGAGCAGGTTGCAGCTCTGGAGCAGGCAGCGTATAAATTGGATGCATATTCCAAAAAGCTTGGTAACTACTGTTCTCTACTGTTACGACTTAGCAGCATAGTGCCTTGCAAGGGGGGTTAAAAAGAAAGAAAGTAAGCTCTGTTTAACGAATCTGAGCTGTGGAGTTGCCTTTGGGAAAAGATTATAATAACAAGTTATGTTACAGTGGACTAGTACAGATGTGATTAAACTACAGCTTGTTAGGGAGGCTTGATTTCTCTTTTACAATATGCACTGATGAGATCTGTGTTTGGTCCTGAAAACAGAGGAATTCATAAAGGCACCCAGGTTCTCATGGATTAGGTTATTATTATTAGTTTTCTGACTTAAGCAAGGTGCTTGAGAAAAAAGTATTGTACAATTATATTTGCCTAAATACGTTAATAATAAAGGATCCTGAATGATACAGTAAATTAACTTGAATTTTAAGATGTATAGCAGCTTACAAGGTACAAAGCTCTTACCTACCCTGTACTAAAATATTGTTATTTTTCCTTCTGCAGAAGCCAAGTACAAAAAACTGGAGAAGCGATGAAGTTAAACAGTCTTTAAGTTGGAGTTGGGCAATGAATCAGACTGATTCCAGGTTTTACACAACAGCAGTTCTGTATCTTGCCAAGGATTTGGTTGCAGCTGACATTGAGACTGGGAACTTCTAGATACTGAATACAGTAGGCTGTATTCAGGCTTAAGGCTGAATAATATTTTCCTCTTCTCTGGAGGTTCTGTTGCTCAGTTGTTTTGCAGTGAAAAGTAGAAACCTGTCCCTAACCCATGTTGATATTGGCTATATGTGTGTTAGTCCTGTTTTTCACATGAAATATTCTGCCTAAGAAAGTCCTCTGTAAAGACATTTTCCCTCAGTAGCAGTAGGACCAAAACTTCACTTTTTTCTTCACTGAGCTCTGTGTTGAGAAGGTACCTGGGCCTTTGGACTTTTGAGAGAGGTATTGAAGACCCTAATTTTGGTATCCCCCATTATCTATTTGAAATAGGGAGACTAATTATTATAAATTTACAATAAAACAACTTACTACATTTGTTTCTCTGGAATCCTAAGTTCCTGTTGGAAAGATTATGTAAACTGGTTTTTTATTTTTTCAAAGGACACTTCTTCCAGCTACGGAAGATGGTAGAAGAGAACGTGTCAAACTCTGCATCAAGTATTGTTGCAGTTGCATTCTTTGACTGCCTGGGCCACAGGTGAAACTGCAAGATTTATTACTCTATCACGTGCTCAGTTAACTTAGGAGATCCTTTCTGTACTTTACCCGTGAGTTGTGATCCTAGTAGTTTTTGAAGTGGTATGCCCAGCATAAAAAGCTGCTTCTCCACCAGATCAACAATTTCCAAATTGCTAATTTGGCAGAGCCCTGCCTACTGAACAGGCATGCCTTCTACTCCAGGGACTTTTTCCATACCTGTTGACCGTGAGTACTTCAAGCTGGCTTTTGAGTAAGTTGCAGTTGAGAATAGTACAAGTGCTGATACATAGGAAAAAAATACAGTCTGTTTAGAAGAATGTTTAGTCACATACCAGTGTGGTAAACATCCTTATTGTGTTGGGCAGTGTACAGCAGGGTAATTAGTTAGGACAGACACTTTTCCTAGTGCTGTTTAAAAACGGTGAAACGGATGATCTTTGAGTGCCTTCTGTCCTAGGTTTAAAATAGGAGCAGAATTTCTGTGCTCGCGCTGTTTTCCTGGCAGGACTGCGGAGGGACAGAAGAGGGCACTGTGTCAGCGGGGAGAACTCAAGAGGCATCAGCTGAGGCATCAACTGCAAGGAAGGGGGAACCTTTGCTCCATGGGGGTGTGTGTGTGTCTCAGTTGAGGGGAGGCTCTATATCCCGCAGCACACAAGTAGGGGGAGTTACAGTTATGATTCATGTCAGAAAACATCTCTGGTGTATTTGTATGCCAAACACAAGATCCATTTAGAAAGGTGAGACCTGGAACCAGAGTTCCTCAGTGTTAATCAGTAATCCAGTTGAGAGCTTCATCCTCAGGATAAAGCAGTGCTAGTGAACCTCAGAATGTTCTATGTCATACAAAGCTATTTTCAACCCTTAGGTTGAAAGTTTGAACCTCTTGATGGTCATGTATAGCTTAACATGCTACTGTGTAGGGTTATCAAGGGAACACTGACGTCCCAAGAGGTCAAAAATACATCTGAAAAGGCAGCTGGGAGAATCACTAAGAAACTTGACAGTTGTGGATAAAACCACTGTTTTCACAACTTTCCATTTTAAATTAAGCTTCTGTGTGGGAATTCAGAAATGTCTCAGCATCCTTCCCTGCAGCCTATAAGACCTATGTCACATGAGAGTACATGAGGCTCTGGTATGCACTCTGCCTGTGTTTCTTTCCTTTTCAACAAAAAATTTAAAGATATTTGAGTTTACACCTGGTTACTCCAAACTGCTTGGTTTTACCTTTGATCACCCCATCTCCCTTGACCCACATCTGTCCTTTATGTCCAGACATCCAATTAATCTGTGTAAGTAAGTCACATTAATTTATAATAGTAGCTCAGGCAAGTGTTATTGCCCTATTATGGGGAAAATGCTGAAGTACATTTGTTTGCCTTATGGATTCCTTCACTGAGTTCTTCACTTGGGGACACTTAGGTATGTTGAAGAATTTGCCAGTTCTTTTCTTCGTTAGTACGTGTCCGCCTTACTTGGTTCTGTAGCTGCTTCCCAGATTCTTGGAAGCATCTTAGAAACTCAGGCTCACAGAGGTGCTTATGTTCTGTGAGAGTTATTTGGGAACTAATAGCAACAGTGTGCAGAACAGATTAATCAAGTTCAAAAGTCTTCAGATGGTCAAGTGACAGGACATTGTGTCAGGTTTGCCATAGAAAATTCATACAGTCCTGCCTGGTTCTGCACCTGAGCAAGTAATGCACTGTCTGCACTGTCCGTGCAGAAGAAAAAGTCTAGGCTGCACTGTGTGCTGGCAGGCAGGGAGAGGGAACTGTATGGCTTCATGGGACATGTAGGGCTTTTCAACAGTGCCTAATTTTTTTAGTTAACCCAGAGCTAATGTAAGCAGTTTTTGGTTACCATTGCACTGCTTTTTGTACCGCAAGTGACATAAAGTGAGGCTTCGAGGACACGGCTTTAGCCCTCCTCTGATTTCAACACCCATTTCATACCATGTTGCAGTGTCTGGGTGCTAAAGCTGTTTTCTTGCTGATCTGCATTGGCTGCCTCCTTGTCACTTCAGCATGGAGGAAGATGTCTGAAACAAGGAAGCAGCTTCCTCATTTACTTTGGCTATTTTAGTCATGGCACAGCTAAAGAGGAATTATAGAGTGCTTTCTTCTTTTTATCTGATGAGCCAACTTATTTCTATGAATCTGTGACATTTGTGGCTTTTGCCTTTGGCATGCTATGCCACCAAGTCATGGTATATCTAGCTTATTAATACTTCCAAAGGAAACAAGTTTGGCCTGTTAATAAACAGTTAATACCATTGTAGTAATATTACAGTTGCTGTCTTTTCCCACAGATTCAGCTCTCTGTCTTCACTGTAATCACTATATATTATACATTGCAGGGAAGGTGATCAAGACAGGAAATGCCAATCCCAGATCTGTACATGTATGATTGGCAATTCATGTAGTCACTATTTATATTTTTTGCTTCATTGTAACACTGCTGTAGTGATCTTCATGTACTTCATAAAAAATGGGAAGATGCAAGCTGGCATTTGTCTAGGAAATGGCACTGGGGGTATGCTGGTATTATTTAATTTGCCCTTTTTCTGCCACAATGGACAGCTCTGTAATAACAGCTGCAGTTCTCATAAATCCTGTATTATCCCACATTCGGAATGGAAGTTTATAGGTCATTAGCCAGCTCATTGTTCAAGCCATAGAACATTTCGTATACATGTGAAATGAAACAGTCAGATTTCAACGGTGTACAAGGCTTGAAAAACATTTGGAAATACAAGCTTTGTGGATGCAGGTTTTTCACTGAAAGATGGTCTGGGATCTGAGAAAAAGAACAATTCAGTGTACCACTTTTTTATTTTGCAATATAAGTTGTAACTTCACAAATCTTCATTACAATCACACAGAAGATGACCCATCTGCCCAGTCACTGATAAACTCCATTCCCACCACAGTAGACAGTAAGTACTGGGACAAGAATATATTAGATGATCATCATCTAACAGAAAAAATGTCACCGTTTTACACTTGTCTTTACAAATAGGTTACAAACAAATTGAAAGCACAGAAGAGAGAGGAAATCCTGGAGTACAAGCATCTGTTCTGTTGTGCTGAGATGATCAAGTGATATGGACAACAGCAGCAGGGCTCTCAGACAGCCAGACACACACCCTCATATGTCAGGAGCTAGACAGGAAACAGAGCTGAGCGAAGTAGGTGCAGAGGAGAACCTGTATAATTTTGCCCAGGGAGCTGTGTTCTTCTCTGTGCATTTGCCTACTCTGTTTAGAACTGGCTGTGGTGATTATAACAGCACCATACAATTTTCTTTTCTAAGCACTTTTGTCTCCATACAGTATCTAGAAAATTACCTGAGTGTTTCAGTCTCAACAGACTGGGAAATGACTGTCATTCAACCAGAGCATTCATGAGTTTGGGAGCTGGCAACAGGTTTCTTTTGGCTAACGTGGAACAAAAGAGACCTGATAGGGTCGGGGCATGCTTGCCAGACTGGTGATTATTGGAGTAATGTCAATGTCCTTGTAATCCACAACAGGCTTCAGATTAAAGTTCTGCAGGATGGATGTTAAGAATATGAATATCTCCATCCGGGCCAGACCTTCTCCTGCACAGACACGTTTTCCTGCAAGAAAAGAAAATAATAAAAATTGAGGTGATTTTGCTTGCTAACTGGTTTTACCACTGTTCCTTGACAGTTCAGACGTCTCAGAAGGCACAGGCACCAGTGCAGCATTTTGGGGAAGGAAGTGATTTAAACTAGGAACTAAGGGTCTAGAATAATAAGAGTGCTCAGTGGGCTAAGGTGGTTTGAATGCTCTGGTTTCTCATGTTCTGCTGCTGTTTGATGGTAAGTTTGGAGAGAGAGAAGTTGCATGGCTGAGTCCCACTTTATACACCCCCTCTTGCAGAAGGCATTGAAGTAACTTTTGTGGTTGGTAAGAAAGGAAGTCAACTGAAACTCCACTACAGGGGTTACAGCTTCCCAAAAGTGACTTTAGCAGATGTGACCAGACATCACTGTACAGACTCTGGCGATGGAGTCACTGAAATTTTCAAATAGGTTCTAGGAGAGGATAGTCTAGGATCTGAAACAGGAAGAGGTCTTACCGGTAGAAAACGGCAGAAAGTAGTCACTCTTTTTAAAGGTACCATTTGCATTCAGAAAATGTCCTGGGTCAAATTTTTCTGGATTTGGAAATTCCTTGCTATCTTTTAGGACGGAAGTCAGCATAGGCAATATCAGAGTGTCCTGAATTGACAAAAAAAAGGTACAATGGAGATTTGCTAAAGCAAAGAGGGATTAAGAAGTTCCCAGAGCTAAATAGAAAGATACTCAAAGTTTAACCATCTTAAAATGAGCATTTACTGAGTGAAAATATATGACATCGGTATGGCAAAGATGGTTTTTTTAATGAATTTTAGTGGTGAGTCTGTTTAGAGTATTTAATATTGCTTCCAAATAGAATACACCTTACATTTATGTAAAAAAACAGAAAGCTCTACCTCCCTTTTCACATAGAGGATGAAAAATCTTTTCTTTTTTCCTTTTCTAATACAAGGGGTTGGACTTAATAACTACCAGAATCCCCTTCCAAACAAAACTATTCCAATTCAATATAACATTTCAGTGCTTTTGAAAATTAAATAAAATACAAAGAATAGAACATAAAATAGTTTTCAGAATATTATGACCTTTCTCAGACACAGTGGAACAGACCTTGGCGATGAAATAGTCTCTGAACTTGGTGTCTCTGATCACAGAATGTGGGACATTAAGTGGAAGGAAATCAATGTATCTCTGGATTTCATGGATCACAGCCTCTGTGTAGGGCAT